GACGACACTATGGTATATTTCACATTGTTTACTTCGTCAGCTATGGATCTGTTGGGCTTACAGCAAAGGCATCATCGCGTAAAAACCTCAGGAACTACATGCCATGAATATAAAAAAGTGTACCGCTTCAGTGAGCATCATGTTATTCTTATGGCTGACATTTTCCTTGGCGAAACAGATTTACAGCGTGGGCATTCTTTAACAAGAAAGGAAAAACTGGAGTGTTTCCTCAGGTATGTTGGAGATCCTGGATACCAGATTAATGTGGGTTAAAAAATATCCGTCCATCAGTCCACTATAAGTAGGGTCATCCTCGATGTAGCTGAGAAAATAGCTTCTAAATGCAAGGATTACATACATTTTCCCACAACTGCAGAAGAATTACAGGAAGCCCAACAAAACTGGGGAGTGAGATTCACTCACCCATATGCCATCGGTGTGATCGACGGAACATTGATCCCCATACAGAAACCTGCAGCGCGATATCATCCAGACGAATATATCTGTCGAAAAGGATTTCATTCCATCAATGCTCTAGTGACATGCGACGTGAATGAAAAATTCACAGCGGTTGACATCCAATGGCCAGGATGTACTCACGACGCACGAGTTTTTCGCAATTCTGTTGTAAAAACTATTTTGGAACAAGAAAATGGAGATGAGTCGCCACTTCTACTAGGCGATTCAGGGTATGGAATTGCTACGTACCTGATGGTGCCCTTTCCTGACCCTCAAGATGAAAATGAAAGGGCATACAACGTTGTGTTCAAACGGGAACGTGTAATCATTGAGAGGGCTATTGGACAATGGAAGAGACGGTTCCCTATCTTAGCGCATCCAATTCGTCTTGCATTAGAGCGCACGCCGACTGTTGTATTGGCAACAGCCATCCTTCACAACGTCTCTAAACTATTTAGCGACGATGTTGACGATTTGCAACCCCAACAAGTGGAAGAGCAAATTGGTGCAAACCCGCCAAACGGAGATGACCTTCCCCACCAAGTTCGGGTAGCTGGTCAGGGTCGCCGGAGAAGAATCGCTACTCAAATGGCAAATGCATAATTAATGTTATCAGTAACATAGCAATGATTGTAATAAAAGATCAACAATTGCCCTTTTCGATAACCTTTTCATAACCTAATATAACCTAACCTAACCTAACCTGAATTTCTGAAAGGGTTAAATAACAATTCCTGAAAGTTTCCACTTTATAATGAAACAAAATAAATGAATCTTGTCTTGACAGAAAATGCATAGTTTCACTTAAGAAGCAAATTTGTCAGTGAAAAAAAAATTATTTTTGAAGGTGCATAATCTTTATGCAAGTGATTCACATTATTTCAAAGGCACACGAACCTAAAATAAACGTATGGTGTTATTTCAGCAAAATAAATATTAATTTTAAGAGCATAAACAAAAACATTTGTCCTTCACACCAATCCATGAACGATAATGGAAAAAAATCTCATTTCTGTGGGTTGAATTCATTAATATATAAAATGAGGGTTTCAGCTGGATTTGCTGGTCCTGCTGGAAGATCAGATAAATCGAAGTCAAGCGGCACGGAGATTTCACTACTCGATGTCGTATAATTTGTTGTACCTCGAGGTCCCATACTTTTGGGTATATTTCGATCAGGTATCATTCTAGAGGAATGTTCTTGTTCCGAGACTTTCTGGCGAGCTCGGGACTCTTCAATGCATTCCAATAGGTACAGTTTCTGTAATTGGGTAATGCTCATCCTTTCTTCGTCCTGTGTCACATATTTGAATTTTCTCTTCTTTGATGGTTCTACTGAGAGTACAGATGGCCGACAACCTGACGGTTTTACAAATGAGCTAACAGATGGCTGACAACCTGCCAGTTCTACCACTTCTTCCACCAGTGTAGGTGGTTGTACAGGGATTTTTGTTGGGTAGGTGGTACTACATACACCCCCTGGAACCCCATGAAACACAGGATTAGTTTCGCCTGAATCTAATTGGTTCTTAATTTCTAGAATTACTTAGGCAATAATTAATTATTTGAGCACTTAACCACCATTCTTCAATAGACTAATAGCGTAGTGCGGCACTATAAAGTACTCTAACAGCGAAGTAGCACTTCAAAGTCTTTCTGCATACGAATCAGTAGTGCGACACTAAACGACACTAAACATTGTAGAGCTACTTCGAAGTGCTTAGTATCTGTGACGTATTTAGCATACCAACAGGATACTTCGTAGTGCTAGTGCCCTATTTAGGATACGGGCCAATGTGATGTCGGCGCTGAAGTGTAGGCCTGATGTGGCCTGTCGTCTGTCTTAAATAAGTAGCGGGCGCGGGAGCGCAGCCGTGTACCACCAATTTTGTGCACCAATAAGCCCTGAATCGAACGCCTTGGATCTCTCCGGACATCCGCCAATCAGCCGTGAACCATTCGGCTTTGTCTTCCTCCGGCCTCGCATAGAACCTGCCGTGCACCACCAGGCCGCGGATCGAATCTGACTTTCGGACATCGTTAAATTACGTAATTTTACGTTCACCGCATCTGAGGTTAGGTTTCAGATAGCATAGTTCTGTTCCAAAATTTATCGTCATTCGACAAGTGGCCGTTCGACCGAGGGCAGGTTCGACCCACGGCCTAGATACGGACGGCTTGAAGTGTTGAAGGCTACGTTCCGGAAGGCAGGAATCATGATGTCCATTACATCCAGGGCCCAGTGGTGGTCTTCGGCAGGCGACCCGCGGGCGCTACCGCTACCGCTACATTGCCTTAGAAGTAGCGCCGCTACCGCTACCGAAAATGTAGCGGCCGCTACATGAAGCGCGCTACTGTCCACGTCTGCCTGTAGTCAATGAGGTTAGGTTAGGTCTGCTCATGTTAAGCCGTGGATTTGTGCACTTGATTCTATAGGCTGCTTAGCTAGCTATCTGGCGCGCTTATTCACGGAAAAGGATATGCACTTAAGTGTAAATAAAGGCAGAGATGGCCTTGATCGGGCATGCACCCTGCAAGTTGCATTCAGGCAATCTTCATTCTTGGCATTTTCATTCCAAAAACCTTAAACTGAAAAACTCAGACACTGTAAAATTCAACTTTAATTAGAATTTCACCGATAATCGAGTTTTACTGATGCGGCCGCCGAGTTAGTGTGCGAAGTTAACACGATTTTTTTAATCCATTGAACATTAGGATTGTGGACGTCTTACAGCACTCCGTGTTGAAATTTACGCTTCGTATTAACGCTACGCTACGTGTTAACATTTCCACTCATGCTGCTGTGATAGATGCAATTCCATAAGGCAAGGGTGGACTATATTGAAAAATTATAAGCTCAAAACTTTCCTCACCTGGGCTGCGATGGGCCGTGATTCTTGCATGGATGCAGATGACCAAACAACAAATGTTTGTTTTAAGAACGCAGGGCTAGTCTTCTTGTAGTATTCGATGCGAGGCTGTTGTCATGTGCAATGCTTGCGCTTTTGTGGCAATTCACGAAGTCAGCCGAGATCCCCGATTGGGCACGTTAATTAAACCATATAGCATCTGTTTTGATGCCGCGTTGAAAGAATTTACTTTCCTGAGTATGACAAGTACGGAAAACCAGCCAATATACGTTGTCTTCATGAACTTACGTCTTCAAAAATAATACAAGTCGAAATATGCTCAAGTATCCGTTATAAGTCGTGATTTCGCCAATCTTCATCTAATTTCTCAATCGTGGGTTAGCACTTTATTTTATGGTTGTGGCACGGATTCACTTCACGGACAAAGTTTCTCCACTTAAAATATCACCACAAATACACAAAAGTTGAGATCAATGCCGCGTCGTCTCAATCTTCTTCTTTTCCGGGCGTCCACGCTGGGTGGACAGCCACAGGACAACCGCAAGGATGACCGTTGGGCCTGAGAGCTTCTGCAGGTGTCGTCTCAAGAACTGCTCATTAGGAGTTCCATCACTTCCATGGACAAATAGGGTCGGACGGACGCGCCTTTTTCTTGATTTTGTAGCAGTAGCGAGGACGGTCATTAAATACAATGATTTGTTTGCAACGCTTCGATATGGTTGGTCATTTCAACAATAATAGCGCCAATTATTTTCGAATTGTTGGTTAATTGTCGAACTGCTGATCTAATTAAATAAATTTATGGGAACTTAAAATAGGACTCTTTGGTCACGTAATTTGAACTGGAGCAGTAAGGTTCTGAAAACTCGTGTCAACATCGAATATTTAATTGATCAAGGAGAAAAGGAATTCGTTGAGGGTACGATTGTACGTGTACAACATTTTCAATGGACACTTGAGTTATAATACTCGTAATTCTTATTTGCAATCGGTTGAACGCCGGCGACTTTTAAAATATTTTCAATATCAATATGCTCATTGACTTTATTTCACATGTATCGAGAAAATTTTGCGATTGGCCCGAGTACACAAGCGTGCCTAATGTCGCCAATTAGATGACAGTTGGAAACAAATTGTGTAATACGCCAATCTCATTCCCCGTTCTCTAGCTATGAGAGGGTGGGTTAATTGGAAACGTTTTGTTGAAATTCTTTTACGCGATTGCGGGCTGTTGCGTCTGAATTTAGTCACATGCACAAACCACCACCATTTTGTTTAGTTCGCCCTGAAATGTTATACTTCCATAATCGTATTTATCAGAGTTCCTATCTTCAAGTCATCCAATCGGATCAATTTCTCGCTCCACTCTAGAATTCAATTATAGCTTTATCTTTCGAATGATGAAAGTGAGAATCTCGCCAAAAGTAGAACAGCAGCTAAAACGACGGACAGTTTTCTAAATAACTCACTCATATCTATCAGTAGAGTTCAAGTAGCATACGTCTCAAGCGAGAATCTACCTTCTGAACGCACCAGCATGGAGCGCCTTCCAAATGAAGAGTTGAATCAACAATCAAGATTAGAGTTCCTTATATAGTTCTTGGAGGTGACATGCAGCATTCCATACCTACATTCGATGCTATTAATGAATAAAAAAAACAAACACATTCATATAAATTTACCATCTTTCGGTGTTTTCGGCTATTAATTATATAATAATTATAAACCTCTTAATAGATTATTCAATTTATTCTTCAGAGCAGCCTTTTTGGCATCATCGAATTCATCAGGAGTTTCTTTTTCTTTCTTCTTCTTTATATTCCGCGGATTTTTCTTCGTATCGGACGATTGTGTATTAGGTTGCTTTAAATCTCCATCATGCAAATAGTCTGTCTTATCATTGGTTTTTCGACTGCCTTTCTTAACAACGTAAGATCCTGTTTCGGCGTCTAAGCTGTTCTCTCCCTTAACGCCTGTCTTTCGATAATTTTTTTTCACAACAGGAAACTGGTCCTTCAGGCTAGTGATACCTGCACTAGTTTTTCTCTCCACAATCGATTTATCGAAAACAGAATGAGGCTTTTCTTTGAGAACTCTGTTACTCTGGACTCTTCTTGCAGAACTGTATTTCTCGTCGACGTGAGCGATAGGCTCGTTTGCTTCATCCTCCATGATACTGCAGTTCCTCGAGTTCAAATGAGGCAAACCACTGGATGCGAGACCGTACTCATCCATGTCCCCGCCTGTAGCGTGTCTGGCACCGACACTTAAGTCGTCGGACCGGGACACGTGTCGCTCACTCAAGTCGTCGGACCGGGACACGTGTCGCGCACTCGAGGCTTTGGACCGGGACACGTGTAGCTCATCCAAGGATTTGGACCTGGACACGTGTCGTGCACACAGCCACGTGCGCGGCAGGTCGTACGAAGTCTCAAGGGAGCCGTCATTGTAGGGGATATGCCAGGATAACCCGTCGCTCCTGCAGGGTTGACTCGTTGTCGTGAACTTGCGAGGTGGCTAATGTAAAGTAATACACGAAATTACTAGAAAAAATTAATTGAGAAGTAACAATGTGTTAATAAACAGAAATTTTTCAATACTGTTGTTGAAAACAAAACTAATTAGTACAAAAAGACCCCCGCGCTGACAGAAATTGATATAATTGATTGGCCTACGTTGATATAATTAACAACATCCAAGAAATATGAACTCAGTTTAATTGAATTAGGAAGATGATGAAAAATTTATAAATCCAACGAAACAAATGACATCTAGTGAACTAGGAGGCATCATTTATGAGTGATGGACTGAAGAATGATAGGTATATTGATCAATGTTAATGACTGACCTGCAGTTGGATTGGGTGAGCAAATTTTGTGGCTTGTTGAGCTCGTTGCTGCCAGAGTTTGAAGACTCGCTGAAGTTCGGCGTCTTGCAGTCTCGAGGCGTGATTACGAAGCTGGTCCCTGCATCAATTAGGAATAACTTAGTTCGGTAATTTGATAAAAATTCAGTCACCGACATCAGAGATTTCATGATTTAATCCACAGTGCAATCACTGTGCATGAAAACGCATCCATATATGATAAAAATAAATTCAAGTCATAATAAGTAAACATACTAATGTCGTTGATACATGGTATCTGGTCAATTTTCCATCATAAATTTAAGGATCAATTCTAAAAATCAAGAGACATCAGTAACGTAACCACTAGTCTGATCAAGCGTTGAAATGTAAATACTCACGAGGTGATAATCTTGCAGTCGATGCCTGAGTAGAGAGCAGCGTAGAGAATGAAACTATCATCTCCTGACCTGCACACCAAATTCAACCAATGAACGGAGGCAAATTGAAGAAAGCAAGCATGATGCAGATCCACTAATTTCTCTGCTCCCTGAATATCATAAGCAAAAATTAAATGAAAGAGCTCTCCAAGGACGCCTAAAAACACCAGCTTTGCTCCTATACATACAGCGCGCCATAAAGTAAATGAACAAACTCTGATTAGATAGAATTCTCTAGTTCATTAATAAATCTATTAAGGTAAATCTCTGACAATCAATGAATATGATTTGACTCCATGAAACATGCCAAGGTTGTTGACGTACAGGTCCGTGAGGTAGTGGCAGTGGGCGAGATCGTGCAGTCTAGACATGGTTGGCAGGTGCCACTTGGCCATGTGAGCTCTGCAGACGATCAGCAGCTTCGCACTTGGATGGTCGCTGATAATCTGCTCCACAATACTCAACAACTGCAATCAAAAGCTCCTATTAATTTCACACTCTCAGGACAGTGCTGCCCATTTTTATTACACTTCTCTTTAACTTCTCGTGTTTGTCTGCTACAAATCTTATAAGGTAATCGATATTTAACACACTATTACCTGTCCAACTGATCTGAAATTTTGCACACTTGCATAAAGTCAGAGATAATGCACAAATCAATTGACAGAATAAATAATTTTGAACATTTAAATTTTTTTATATATTAAAAATATGTAAATTAATTTTGTAATATTTGAAAATAAAATTAGAAATTTATTGTACTTGAGTAACATCTGAGACACTGGATTCTTTAGAAGTGTTGTCTTTAAAAAGTTATTTTTAAACGTATATTACTTAATAACATGTGTGTTCCATGTTGTTGGATGCAAGTACCTATATAAAAAATTTACATGCGCAAAGAGAGGACTAATTTTCTAGGTCACATGAAGCGAACTGGAAAATCTTACCATTATTTCAGTGAAATTAATTGAATTAAATATTATTTCACATATTTCCCAGATTACTCTCCTTTCTTCACAAGTTTTTAGAAACGCTGAAGATGTTTAAATTCGTCAAGTCAGGTTTTAAAACATTCCATACCTAACCTTATACCAATACCTGTGGTAAGCAATGAATATAAATATGATTATATAACAACCTTTCATACAACTTACACAGAAATGAACTCGTCAAAATCTAAATTCTACTCTAATCTATATCCCAATTATCTCTACGAAAGAGTATAGATACATTAGCAGCCATGCGCCGGTTCTGCTGCAGCATCTTGCTTCTTTGGTGCGCGGGCCCGCTACTCCTGTAGGCGATGTTGAGACCGTCCAGGATGTGCGTGAAGGGCGCGTGCACTGTGAGCAGACGGTCGAAGTGCTGCCATTCCTCAGGGCTACTGTTCACGTATATGTCCCCTCGCTTCAACACCTTCTCTAGAAACGCCTTCTGGAGCACACAAAACAACACCAATTTAAAAAAAAGACACCAGGTCAATTTGGTGAATTGGGGACGCTTCAGGTTTATTAGCCTTAACAGAAAAGTATTCTTGAAAGATCAGCTGGTAAAAATATGATCTTCAGCATCTGTATCACAACATAATTAGGCAATTTAGCCCATAATTTTCAATTAAATGAACAGGTAAAAAGATAGTAGGTCAGCAACTTTGAGAAATTTGACTATCGCAAGACTACCATGCAACTATTATAGCTTAGGCTGAAACTCCTTACCCTGAGACTGGTAAAAGTATCAGGAGATATTGGAGAAAAGTCCATGATATTGCCACACGATCGACATCGGCCACTGGAATAAAATATAATTTTAGCTACTCATGTGCTGAGTATATGCAAAAAAATTAGCAATGAAAATACATAATAAAGAAAGCACCATTCTTAATCACCCTTATTTATGCTAGATTATTGCCAACATTATCAATAATTTAGGTTAATTAAATTTTCCTTTAGTTCATGAAGTTTTTTATTTGCATAAATATTACAGGACACAACATTTTCTAACTGATGCGAAAAAACAGCTGTTCTAAAAATGAACCAACACCATCATAAGCCACAAAAAAAAAAAAAAAAAAAAGCCAATGAACAGTTCACCCTCTCAAAGTAGTCTTAAATACTTAAATAAGTAAGCAGATCACAGCAGTACAGCATATGCTGGAACTGACCTATATGTGTTGACTGTGGTCATGGTGACATCCCATCCCACCTCCTTCAGGAGGTCACTAAGAGGACCAAGAGACTCCAAGTCCAAGAAAACCTGCCACTTATGCAGCAGCTGCAGGAAGCGAATTACAGCTGTTTTACGGTCCTCCTGCACATAATGGATTTTTTTGTGATATTACTGATGATCGACCATATCTTATATTAAAATTTCTTCAAGGATTGTCAAAATTGTTGGCTTTCAGCAAGTCTCATGGGAGAAACAAGTCGGCAATAACACAACAAGTAACTGTAGCTGTTTACAAATATATTATAAGGTTTGAGAACATCAATATGTTGTGATTTCAGTGCAAATAAAACTATAGGGTTAGAAAAAAGATGCTCAATACCAGGCAGTTGATAGAATAATATTTTAAATCCAGTTAATTAATCAAATGATTTTTGTGTATAGGAGTCTAAATCCATATCAAATGACTAACCTATGCAAAAGACTACTTTTAACTGTATATACAATCAAACGAGGTAAAAAGGCACGGGCGGGGTAAATCAGGACGCGTGTCTCACATTTTGTAGAAATGTTGTAGCAGCTAAACTACTCACAATATTGCATAACTAAAAATAGTGGCGAAAACTTCAACATTTTTACTATCTATTATGTATAAAGCTAGTCAAGAAATCAAACATTTACTATCTCTAAGAAATCGCTAAAAAAAGTGTAAAAGTGCAAAAATGCTCAAAACCGTCTATTTTTACCCCGTTTGATGGAAATGCATGGGGTACTTGCCTTCTCTAGTGTGGTACAATAATTTGCAAATGCAAGGACCACTCTCTGAAATTTTTTACTTTGAGTGTTCATGAGCTGACAAAGCAGTTGCCAGGCATTCTTTGTATCACCACTGCAAAAAGCAGCCACGGTCATGTTTTCATAAACTTCCTGCAAAATGCAAAATTAACATCAGTAGGAAATGCATTATCATGGCATCATAAGAAATAAAATTAAATATCCAATGCTTGTGCTTGAATGCCTCTAGACTTTGAAGTGAGATAATATTTTCTAACACAACCAAATGAATGAATTGAAAATAACATAATACCAGTTATATTTTGATTAGATAAAAACTAGTCTAAAAATAAAAATAAAATATTTTCAAAATGAAATTACCTACAGAGGGAACAATTCCAATCTTCTTGATGGTCTGGAGGAGTTGATGGCTTTGTTGCCAGTGGCTGGTCCTACAGAGAGCACCAATCATCCTCACCAATAGGGGCATACTTTGAACAGGAACTCGTTTGCTCAATTCATCATAGGTGCTCAGGATTGTTGCTTCATCACATTCCTTAAGAAAGAAATTTTTTTAGTAATTGCATCATGATTTGGGTTAAAATATTCACAAATCAAAAAGATACATTTAATATTGCAAAATATTTCAAACATCTCACACAAGATGCAAGGATGCTAAAAAAAACTTTGCAGCACGACTTACTTACCTCCTGACTTTGACTACAAATGTCCATGAATAGAGCAAGGCAACCAGTGGTTGGCTCATGACTTATTTCCTTTAAATACAAAAGGAAAGATGAGGCTAGCTTCAAGTTGTTACTGCTTCTGCACTCCTTCATAATGTTGGTGATGCATTGTTCAGTATTTGAAGATTTTTGTAGACCATGTTGCATTATCTCTTCCCATTTCTCAGATGGAAGTTCATGTTTCTCTTGGAATACAGATTCATATTGAAGAAAATGTGAATACTTTCGTAATATTTCTGTTTCTCTATCCCTAGCTTTTTGGGCAGCTGTACATGAATAACTAAAGAGTCTATTTTGAGCAGAGATAGTAGAACCTGGTGAGAATTTCCATCCAAAATTTGTAGCATTCAACTTCACTCCATGGAATAGGTTTCCATTGAATACTTTTCCATACACTTTACACCAAAATACTCTCATTTTGTATTTAAAATGAGCTCCTTACCAACTACTAGTATGGATTAACTGAAAGAGAAGATGGATATTTCATGAATAAATTAGCTTTCATGTCCTTAGCTGACCCCAGGACAGGTGTAGAATAGGTAGGTATCTATCTATTGAGTTGTTATTAGAGCTTTCCAGTTTTGACTAAAACCCAGACCAGAATTAGGAAAAAATAATAGAATACAAATTTTTCAAAAGGATGTAAAACTCAAAATTTTTCATATCAAAAGTTTATATTTACTTAGAAAAATTTTGTCCAACCAGCACATCAGGATCTCAGGAAACTTCATCTTCCAATCAAACTAATTGATAGAGAATAGTCTGAAAACATACAGGAAATATGGAAAATTGTAGTACCAAATTTACATTGATTTCAAAAATTCATGTCAGGTACAGCAGACCCCAGACTGGGCTAGCAATCATAGACCTGTGTAATTAAGTCACAGAAAAGAGAATTTTTCAGTGAAACTAATTGACAGAGAATTGTCTGAAACATCCAGAAACCAGCTAACATTTACACAAAATTTCTGTTGATGAACTTGGAAAAGTTCATGTTTGGCAAAGTGGACCCTGTACAGGTTTGCCAATGTCAGGGCAGGCCCTCAAGACCGTTGCAGGAAGGACAAGGCAAACAAGTTTTGATACTTTACTAAGTTAAGGAATAAATGCCTTTAAGAACTGAAAGTTGCAGGTACAGAATGGCACTGTGCGTGCTTACTCATCACGTTACTTGGAACTAAATCTAAACTGGAAACATACGGAATTAACAGAACAAGTCTAAGCTTCGTGTCGGCTCCTCCTTAGTTCAACCACGGACAGATCGCACACACGCAGCACCCAACTCAACTTGAGGTTTGCCAGCTCAACAGAGCGGGCGGACACTGACGCGACGAAACTGGCCCGCGTAGAACTAGCTGGCTCTAGCAGCTTTGAAAGAAAACCACAAGGGCTCCAAAGGTAACATGGTCAGCGCCACCGAGCAGGCCCACCGGCGTGCCTTAAACAAAAGGGACGTAGTCAGCATCAGGCTACAGGTGCTGCCACGCTAGGGAGTTAAAGCGAGCAGACTGTTGGGGCACTGACAAAATATAGACTAATAGGAAAGCATGACTGACTAGCAAAATGACTAGCTGGCAAACATGACGTTTAGTCAGACCTTGAGGCTCACAACTTACATCTAATTCACATCCATAATTGCACCCCACCTAAACCAATTAAACACAAGTGATAATTTCAGTATAGTAAGACTAAGACAACAATTACAAAAATACAAGCATTACCGTAATTCACATGAGGCAGCTTACCGGAACAAACCGCAGTACCTACAGCAAAGCAATGCTGACTGAAACCAAAGAGCGTACAAGATGTGCGCGTCTTCAGGGCTCAACAAGCAGTGGACTAAGCTTTCAGCATGATTGACCTAACATGACAATTTTAGCAGGAAATCTATTTTAGCAAGCTTTCAATCACAGCCAATCTTGAACCAGTATTTTTATGTAACAGGACAGTTTATTTTTCTATCAGATCTATTGATAGAGAATGTTCTAAAACATCCAGAACACATAAAACATTTTTTATCGAATTTTTTATTTATTTGGGAAAAGTTCATATCAGGTTCAGAGGACTCTGGAATGGTCCTGCAATGAACAAAAACTTGGTAAAAATGTCCTATATTTTCTGATGTTTCAAAGCATTTTCCATGCATTAATTTGATCAAAAATTAAATTTATTTGTGACCAAAAATGATGGTCAGAGATTACTCTACCAGTCCAGGGTCTGCTGTACTGGATTTGAATTTTACTTGAGACAATTCTCTATAAATTATGTTATCAAAAAATCAACTTTTCTGAGACCCTGAACTGCTGGTATTAGCAGTTTAGGATATTCTTCTAAGTATTTGAAATTTTTATATAGGTACACAATTTTGAATTTTCTCAACATTTCAGATGATTTGTAACATTTTAATTTTTTTATGATCCTTGTCTGGCAGACTGGTCCTGGTCTGAATTTGAATCACTAGTCCATATTCAGTATCAACTAACAGGCAGCTGTCTGAGCTTTCCTACCATTTTTTATAGTCAAAACATTCACACTAGGCCTGACTGAAATTTTCCTACTTATGAATGAAATCTTGAGCCTTGAGGCTCTGGAGTGACCAATTTTATAGTGGCAAAGCTGTAACTGCAGTGATCCAGGGAACAGTAGAAAAATTTCATGCCAGATGCTAGATGAATTACTCTATTTAATTGTTATGGGGAGCGACTAGGCCTAGCCAAAATTTTATCTTGGCTATTTACAGACAGTTCACTTTGAAACTTGATACACATATGTAAAGCTGCAAAATAGACGGCTTTTATTCACGTCAATATTTCGAAAAAGATGAAAGAAAATGTGAAATTCTTAGAAAATGGCCCAAAAAGGGGGTAGGGTAAACGCGGTATATTCCGACATCGTGGGTAATTCTGTCACCTCTCTAGTTTTTCCTTTATATTAAGCTTTGTTCTAGTTCCATGCGTTCGTTGATGGTTGAAATGGTGACGTCATACATTTGCGCGTCAAACTACTGCCAAAAAAAACACTAGGTCTTAGCCATCTAGCGGGAAAATATTGAGATCCAAAGAGAGACAATGCACGCTACCCAGTGAGATCATCGAAAAATGTGTCAAATTTGACAGTTGACCTTGCTCTACCAAATAGTGAATACCGGTATCTGTTTGTATAGGAAGAATATTATGGTTTGAGACTTTTAAATACATCTGTGAATATATTAGGAATCCTTTAAGTATACTTGTATTTGCTGATTTCAAGNGCAGCTTGATGAAACTTTGCACACGTCTTCACTAACGTTTATGTTTAGGTCGTGATTATTTTTTAATTGTGCCTTCAATTAAAGGTAGTACACAAAAAGCCTGAGCAAGAGGATAGGAGATGCTAGGCTCACTGCGAATTTAGAACCGTATAAGGCGCACCAAAGGCGAAATTGAAAAAAATGATGATGACCTAAACATCACCGTTTTTTTTTAACATTTGCTAAGTTCATTAGTTTGGAAGATATTTTAGGCTTAATGAGGAAAATTAACTAATGCGGGGAAGAAGTGAAAAAAATGATCATTTATCACGTTCATTCGCTCAAGGGCATTGCGAATGAATAGTTTTGTTTGTAATTTGGTAAAGATTATTAAATTTGTCAAGTAAGTTTATCTTAAAAATTTGTTCACAAAGTGTCGGATTGATATATCATTTGCGAAAATCCCCTCAACACAGTGTTTGCTCTAAATCAGGAATTAAATCGAAAGCGGAATCCGGAAGGGAAATCCAAATAGGCAAGCACTTGAACGTCTCCTCCTATGACAAACGCGCTAGATATTTCTTTTCTGAATGAGAGAATGTAAGCTAAATATGAACTAGTCCGAACGGCCAATCATAGCTTGATGCGTGTTGTTGATATATGTGTTGCCAGCTGCAGCCAGCAGTGCGTTTTGAACTGGCGCCGCGTATGGTTGTCGATGCATGTGCTTCCAGTCATGCACTGTCGTCTGCCTCGATTCTACTAGCGTATGAGTCAGAGGTGTCTGGTGCATAAAAACGGATTTTTTGTTAACTGATTTTAATGAATTGAATTATGATTGTTTAACATTCGCGTTCATAAATTTAGTCTGCAATGCATAGGCTTAATTTGCGTTCAGAAATGGGATGTTTACCCTAAAAAAAACGTGTTCTCGATTGCCACTATGCCTAGGATTTTCAAGCTACAATGAGTGAATGAGATGCATATCATTTGATGCATAAAGACCATATCTATTGATTTATTGTAGCTTTTTTTTTAATTCAAATTTTTGTAGGTGACGGAGCTTTTTCATAAAATTTTCAAAAATTTTTCAAATTTCCTCCCTTTTTTCAAAATATTTTCAAACTATAAAGAAATTTAATAAAAGCTAAGATAATTGGATAGATCTTTTGTTTGCAATTTGAATGGTATATCTCTCATTGCTGTAACTCAAAAACTCTAGGAGGAGATTGGTTTGCAGTGACAATAGTGTGAATGTTCAGTAGAGCACACTGCAAACAAATTTTTTGGTATTGGCCAAAAATTTTGGATTTTCCAATTTTTAGTTTCATCTAAACCCATTAATGCCGAGAATTATGTAAGGAGAATTTTTCATGCTAAATGACTCTTTATGATGTCAATAAACAACTGAAACACTCAAAACGGAAATTTAGTTGAAAATATGAAAAATGCAGCTTGGCCGAACATATGTGCCCATTCGGCTATAAAATCATGATTTCAGAAGAAATTGAAATAAACCTATAAATATATTCCTTTGTTAGCTCTATAGTCTATGCATCCAGTCATACAGACTCCTTTTTTTATTTCTCAAAACTCAAAAGCTAAGTAGTAGAGTATCTATGGCTTAGTGCCTTAGTGTGTTATTCTTCCTGTAGTGCACCGCACTTCACGACACCACACTTCAATACACACTAGTGACACTACCCGTTTTCTGGGCTCTGCGTCACAACCGGCTTTTTAAGGAGAGTTATACACCAGGATTTTGGATTTGGATTTGGGGCGTGGTACCTCTGAGAGAAAGAATTTCAGGGTCAGGCCTTTGCAACGGCCATCAGCCACGCATCACATTTTCATTTGTTAGTAAGAAGGAAGGGAGACCAAGCCAGGTGGAAGCAACATTCAAGAGAAGAGGCTAGAAGAGGTGTGAAAGTTTGTGTTAAGGTTGAGAAGTAATCAAGGGGAAGAGAAGTTCAAGGGGAAATTCATTGGTTTATTATTGCTATTTGTCAATTATTGCACTGTGTATTTGATAATTATATTAGCTATGGGGCCTTGTAGGCCCTGAGTGACTATTTGCGATATTATTCTGGTTTGGTTATTTCAATTTTATTATTATTATTGCTTTTTTCTTACACCCTCCCAGCCTCCACTCTAGCCAACCTCCTCCTCTCCCTCACCCTCCAAGCACTCTCCAAAAATCGCTTTCCACTCTCAATCATAGCAGCAGTTACCCCCGTGAACATCATATTTACTTGCTCTCACTCTTGCTGCACTGCCAAGTATTCCTAACCACTGATTTGCTTTACTTAAACTCAATGCTTTAGTTCTCTCACATGATGAGTAGATACTTGGGAATGAGTGTTGATCAAAAAGGATGTGAGTCACATCCTTTTTGATCAACACTCATTCCCAAGTATCTATACTCATTTGTCATCCCAATCACATTTCCTCCCAGCTGCCACACTCTACCCACATCCTCAGCTGCTCCATTCACAACTAGCACCTGACTCTTCTCTGGGCTAAAGAGAACATTAAAATCCTTGCCATACTCAGTTATACAGTCAAGCCTACTCTGAAGTTCAATACCATTTTCACTCATTATTACTGCATCATCCACATACAATAGCATTTTTAGTCTTTCATCTCCAACACACACTCCCACATCCATTCTTCTCAGTCTAGCAGCCATCTCTTCAGTGTATAGGCTGAAGTCCTGAAGAGAAGTGGAGACAGGATACATCCTTGTCGAACACCCCTCACGCACTCCCAGTGTGGAATTCTAGAGGGATAATAAATTAACCAGTACACATAGCATATTGGAAAGCAGGACCTGAAAGCTTGGAAAGGCCAGGAACTTTACACTTTCAGTCCATTATTTACATATCCTATCCCTTTCCAGAATTCCATTTGTGATTGGTTTGTTATTTTAGCCACTTTCAGCTTTCCAGCTTTGATTGGATAATAGAATTGTAATATTATCTGCTTTCTAGCTGTGATTGGTTGATGGAAATGCTTTCAAGCTGTGATTGGCTGATGGGGATGCTTTCAAGCTGTGATTGGTTGATGGGGATGCTTTCAAGCTGTGATTGGTTGATGGGGATGCTTTCAAGCTGTGATTGGTTGTGCCCATAAGCCCCACCCCCAAGTATGGTATATGTACTACAGTACTGGTTAACTAAATACTTAACTAAAACTTGATCATTACAAACAAAAGGCCTGGAAATTAAAAAAAAAATCATTAAATATAAGACAAATAAAAAATATCTATCAAACATGAGATATCCAAATAATTCTATTACAAACCTAATGTACTATACAATTGAAACATTTTGTCCATTTTTGATCCTCCTTTTCATTTATAGTCAGTCTCCTGGCAGGCTGGTAGAGCACTGCATCCAAGGAAAGCTTTTCACCTTGGGTGGAAAGCTTTTTTATAAGTGAACTTCCATTCTTAGAATTCCAGCCTGCACACTCCACCCAGTCAGTCATGGTGGTTTTTTAGCAAATCCTTGGGCATTTAGCCCCAGCAGACTCCAGCAGGCACTCCGCAGGCACAGTGGCGCTCTGAAGCAGAAAAAACCTAGATCCAGGTTTTTTGCTTCCCACTCAGTTTCTAGGTTTTTCATTAACAAACTGATCCTAATCTAATTTTTTTTTCAGAATGGTGCGCTGAAAGCAGAAATCAGTCAACAGTTATAGCCAACCTAAGCCAAGAAAGGGAGAACTACGAGACTTACGCGATGGAGATTGGAGCCATTTACAGGAGATATGAAAGTAGATTACTGGATGCATCATGCAACTATTCAGGAATGATTACGATTTATTTTAATCAAACAAAAATTTATGACATTCGAGCCGCGAGATTTCATACCTACTGAAATTATATATTAGAGCCGCGATATTTCAGACAAAAATAGGACTTTTCCAGACTAGCCACCTATGTCTTCCCAAAACTCTTTCACAGCTTCAGCCATTCTTGTTCTCTCAGTCACATACACTCCTATGTTCAGCCCATGTTGCCCATCCACTCTCAGACCTTTTTCCCTATTGTCACGGTGTCACCTCTTAGGAAACCAACACCACGCGTCTTAGCCTCTTAGGTACTTAGACGAGTGACCAAACGAAACTCCGTCTGTGATATTCCAGATTTATTGACTCCTCCGCGGGAAAGGAAAGTTTTCGCTTATAAGTGCTTCTTTAACGACCAAATGATGACACGCATTCCACAAGAATCAAGAATATTCCACAATAATAAATCTTGAGAGTTGAGTGCACACTTTATTTATAAAAAAACGTATCGTAACAGCTTCTCGCTACCGTCTACCGGTATTTTCGAAATTTTAGTAATATTGGGTTGAGATTGACACGGAACGAATACCTAGAATCCAAATGCAGCTAACTAGAGAGCACAAAATTTTTGAAAGTGAGGAACCGTATTCGCGCATGTATCAAATATCACACGCAGGTAGGGAGTTCGAATTTTTGCACTGTTATTTAAATAGTCCGTGAGCTCTCTTAGTTCCGATTAATTGTCAGTTGCCCGATTCATTGAAGATATTGCAATTGCATTGCTATAAAGTCTACCTAGCCTTTTAATTTATATTGAAAATGATATTCCATTAAATGACTTTTTCGAGTTTTCTTTTCAGTGTTGAATTTGATGACTTTAAAAAAGTTTTATTTGACACTTCACCGTGGGACGAATGCGGCGTATTGAGATAAAAGTCCAGTTAATTGTGTCCCTTCTATTGCGCGACGCATTGATGTAGAAGTCTTGTAGAATCGTGTCGTGTCTTTTGTCTCGATTTTTTACCGCGCCGAATTTTGGCGGAAAAAGTGCCATTCCGCCGATGAGTGACTCGTGGAAATGAATTGTCTCCACCCATATTTGGGCACCCATAGCACCGAGCAAGAAGCTTTTTCAGCCTCATTCCAACCCGCAATGATGTACATTCTGTATCTGTCTTTATGACTCTAGTGCAACTGTCGAGCCCTAAGTGTATTCCATTTTATAAAGCAATGTTACTTGCGAAAAAGTATAATATATCTATAGGGAAAAGTGTTAATCTAAATAGTGTTACCATCCATGTCAATCTTGTAGCTACATCATAATCATTTCAACTTAAAAATTCGAGGGCAAACTATAACCTACTAATTCGTTGATTTTATATTTACCTCTGGCAAAATTGAGCTTGGCACATGCAAAGAAATAATTAGGACTTTGTTCAAATAGCGAGCCCTTTTTTCCCTTGCGTGGGTCATCCTGCAGTTTGGTGCCTCTTAAGGCCCGTTCACACTAGGGGCAACACACAAGAATCAAGTGCCTCAAAGCGCATGCAGAGGCGCTCTGCAGCCTCTGCATGCGCTTCTTGACCGATTGATTTGACGAGCTTGCGATTGACAGGGGCCATGCCTCATGCAACACAAGCGCGGCGCTTAGTAGATAGCTATTCAAGAATTGATATCACATGTATGCTTAAATCGCAAATTAACTAAGAATTTAAATTAAAATAAAATTTTAAATTAAATTAAAAATTTAAATCAAATTAAAAATCTAAATTCATTAATTAAAGAAATTCAATTCGTTCTATGGTTTCAATGTATTAATTTGTGACTTCTGATTTGTGATTCTAGATTCTACGAACTGACGATGAAGCTGGTCTCCGAAACGTTTTCTATAAAGATATGAATTTTTGTGGACTATTCTTTGCTTTTAAATTCTTAGTTAGTAAATAGCTGTCTGTGGTCTAGTAAGGTTGATTGTGTACGCTGGTCCGGCAGACCAAATGTCGACTAACACCACTCGTTTGGAGTCACTCTGTAGTAGAGCGCCTAATTGATCTGGGAGCGCTGCCGTAGCCCAAAAATTTGACTCTTAAATCAGCCCAAAAGCCAATGCCAACCCTCTACATGCAATAGCAATAGTCAGTCTAATACCTATGCAGCTGTTCTTACTTGCCTCATCTCGCCACACCAGCTTGAAACAAGCAATGCCTCATCCCACAAACTGATACTACAAACGGATTACGCCCAATAGCTCCTACACCAATGATTTAAGCCCATACCATCACTTCTTACAATGGTTAGGTTAGGTTAGGTTTGGTTAAACTTCTTCCGCAAGCTGGTACCGAAAGGAGGGGGAGCAGGGGGTAAGCGTGGAGGTTTAGCCTCCAGAAGAACGGACAGGCTGGAGAGGTAGCAGTGTGGCGCAGGGCGTTCTTTATCGAAAGTGGGGAAGGGGCTAGGCTGCATGGAATAGAAATATTTTGGGGTTTAGCGTGCGGGTTACGACCATTGTTTTAGCGGCTTGCAGGTCATTGGCTCGCTGGTTTACATCCATGAAGGAATTTAGTCCCTGTGGCTTTCAGCAAGTAAGCATGTTGGCTAATTTGCTCTGCAGCATGCTTGCGCACGGGGAGAAGTATGAAATTATGCTGGTATTGGGCAATGCTGGGTTATTTCAGTCGTCCCATTGACCTTTATAGAGAACACGAATGCCTATGGATTGTTCGGTCAAAGGAGTACAAAAATCGAAATGCAAATGATGTAAGTTACTTTTACATGACGTGTTTAGTTTATGTGATTGTAGCAACTCCTGACAATTTATGCATTACCGTTTAGCGATTTCAAAGGATGATATAATATCGGTATGAATATTGGAACTTTTTATTTAAGAATAGCCTTTATTTTTTATAAACTGTATCTTTTTGAATGTGCTAGTTCTCTAATGATGATGCCTATGCTAAATTCTCGTTTACAACTGGCATAGTGCGAAGAATGACGGACCGCCGCACACCCGAGAACAATGGCCCACAGCTCAAATTCGGTTACAGAAATCCTCATTGACGTCTAGGTGGCAACTGGTGTTCAAAGCGCGCCGTCTCAGACTACCGAGTACAAAAGTAGTGTGAACGGTTGTGCGCGGTGAGGCACTGCAGCAAACGACTCAAAGCGCATGTCGTTGCCACTAGTGTAAACGGGCTAAGACGGTAAATAGGCAACTAAGTATCAGTGCTCCTCTCAGTTCGTGCTTTGGGTGTCACTACTTGGAAAATGTGACCCGTTCATTTATATGAATGTGCATCATAAAGAGCTACGTTAATGATATTTTAGTTCATTAATTAGGAATAAATCGCGTTAAGGACGACGCCTATGGTAGATTTATGTCATAGTCGGGGAGCACGTTGTCGTATCGAGACGCCTTCTTCAGGAAGACGAAATCCTCGCCGCCATGTTTGATGAGACGATAGCCTTTGCTCTTAATTTCCTCAGAAATTTTGCGGTGTTCTTCGAAGTTTTTCCATTCCAAATAAATTGCCTGTTAAATTATAACTTTTTTATTATACGAGAATTTGAATTGAAATTTTCGGTTTGTACAAAAGTCCATATTGAAAAATTATTGTTGTATAAATCATCTAATTTTTTATTTCAATAATAGATGCAGTTCGTGAACATTCAATTTTCATTGAAGACGATAGTTTTAAATCTCAGTCATTGAGTTATGGTATTAATAGTTGATAATTTAAATGAAATACATAAACGTTATACTATCTAATCCATATAAATATTTTAATACGCCATTCATGCACTAGATTTATAATATAGGAGCTAAACGAAATCAAATAGTTACAACAAACTTCACCATCATATATTTGCGTTAGCGATTGAGAACATTTGGAGGACCTTTAATTAAAACTGCATTGGTATTTACACGCGTTGTCTCACTTGAATATCGAACTGGAATTTACACATGCGCTGTTTCGCCTGAATATCGAATTGGAATTTACACACCCGTTGTCTCACCGGAAAATCGCATTGCAATTTACACACACATTGTCTCACCGCAATATCGATTTGGAATTTTCACACTCGCTGTCTCACCTGATTTTCGAACTGGAATTTACACACGCGTTGACTCACCTCAATATCGAACTGGAATTTACACATGCGCTGTTTCACCTGAATACCGAATTGGAATTTACACACTCGTTGTCTCACCTTAATATCGAACTAGAATTTACACACGCGGTGTCTCACCTGAATATCAAATTCGTCGAAATCAAAGTTTCTTAAGATGTCCATCTCAGCGCCTTCAACGTCTAGAACCAACAGGTCGACCCTCGTCATGTTCAGGGCAGCGAGCAGCGAACAAAGGGGAATGCACTGCACTTTCCTGAAGATGCCTCTCATTAAACTCGGCTGAGAGAAGAATAAAAAAAATTGTTTTATTTGCACAGCGAGCCGCATTTTAGAAAAAAACTAAGCGCATTAAGCGTAATTCAAAAGCGGTTCGCAAACTGCATGGGTTGCTGGTAAAATCTTTGAATATTATTAGTTTCTCTTGTGTATATGCAAATTATGGGTCGAAAAGTTATAAGATTTAATACATCACAATATTTTGACCTAATTCAGATGATGAATGCAGTTTTGCGTGATGCGATGTAATTAAATGATGCTCGTGTACATATTGGAACTGAAAACGTCGCTGACCATGACATATTCTCTTTAAGAGTATAGTGAACCCAACTTCCAGCCAATTTATCCACAGCAAATAAGAACCCCAATTATGATTAGCTTATTCTTTCGTATAATTACAATTTGTATTAAAACACCGATCAATTACAGGACGTTTCTGGAATAAATACAATTACAGTTCCCTGTCAAATCTTTAAGCATGGCCGGCGTAATACCATCTTTGATTAAGTAGCGCTATACCAAAGCACTTGAGCGTCAGTAACATTGACTCCAAGGAGTATAACATAAGCAACATCGATACAAGTAAGTTTTTTACATTGGCTCCCCATTTTCATTGGATAATTTATCGCGTCACTCGCGATACTCATTGCGTCTACTCAGGTGATGCTCAGCCTACTCAGGTGGTACCTAGCCTCCTGAGGTCGTACCTAGCATCCTGATTTAGTACCTAGCCTCCTGAGGTCGTACCTAGCCTCCTGATTTAGTACCCAGCCTCCTGAGGTCGTACCTAGCCTACTGAAGTCGTGCCTAGCCTACTGAAGTCGTATCTAGCCTCCTGAGGTCGTACCTAGCCTCCTGAGGTCGTACCTAGCCTCCTGAGGTCGTACCTAGCATCCTGATTTAGTACACAGCCTCCTGAGGTCGTACCCAGCCTACTGAGGTCGTACCTAGCCTACTGAAGTCGTACCTAGCCTACTGAAGTCGTATCTAGCCTACTGAAGTCGTACCTAGCCTACTGAGGTCGTACCTAGCCTACTGAGGTCGTACCTAGCCTACTGAGGTCGTACCTAGCCTACTTAGGTTGTACCTAGCCTACTGAAGTCGTACCTAGCCTACTGAAGTCGTACCTAGCCTGCTGAAGTCGTACCTAGCCTACTGAAGTCGTACCTAGCCGACTGAGGTCGAACTCAGCCTACGGAGTTGACACTCAACCTACTTATATCAGTTATATGGGTAGTACCCAGTCTATTCAGTTGGTACTTAGCCCACTGCGGTGGTTACCAAGCCTACTTATATTGTACTCAGTCTACTCAGGAGGTTACTTAGCTAACTTAGATTGTACTCAGTCTACTCAGGAGGTTACTTAGCTAACTTAGATTGTACTCAGCCAACTCAGGTGGTTGGTACTTTTACCTGTCCTGCTCGGTATCTCTGTAGCTTGCTCATGGCTCGGTGCTTGAAGCCGGAATCCTCTATCGTAGCTGCAGATATGTGACTTGATTTACCAGCAAAAAGTTCCTGGAAATTGGAAGATGAGGATTAGTGGTAATATTGATGTTTAGCGGCTGCTCATGATAAAATTTTACGAAGGTATTCAATCAACAGTGAAAATGTTTTTTTGCCTCATATAGGTAATCAAATATTTTCTTGCAAAATTATAAAGTTTTCTTGAGCCAATTGAACTTTATGAAATTATTTGGGGGCTACATTGAATAATTATCAAGTAGAAATTATTTATGCGACATATCTTGCGTACATAATTAATCAGAGCAGGTGATCTTTGATTGTGTGAGTGGAATTTGGAATAAGTAGATGAAATGTAAAATAAGGACACGAAATTGTTGTTAGGGAGAAAGCAGACAACCCATTTTATGGAATAGATTCTTAATGATTCTCAGGGCGCGCTGGAAATGGATGATAATTTAAATATCCCATTATTATGTGCAATTCCAATAGGACACGCAAGTGTGAGCGACATTTAGACTAATTGTCCCTCACTATTTGGGATCTCGAGGAAGAGTCTTCGGTCAGTTGTGAAATGTTTCTTGGAAGACGTCCTATGAAGAGCCGTAAAATTTCTCTAAACGAAGCCCCTACTAGAATTTCCATTATTCAGGATAAAATAATACGAGAGTAGGCCGAAAATTAATTGATTTAGACTGTGTATAAACTCATATTACGCACAAAACTTGGTTTTCTTAAGGGAATAATGAGCTTCGCTTTGCATTTTACGCATCGCGAACTTAGTGGACGCTTGAAAATTCCCTGCTTGCAGTCTGATGCGTATTTTGACATTAAAAAAAATCTCCATAAAATCGCAATGCTTCATGGTGGAAATCTACTGATCTAAATGCTTCACATGTGAGAACTAAAATTCCACTCACTTGAGTAGGGTATTTATGCGGAGACAAGCAGACGTTCGCAAGCCATGCCTTGCGATGCTTGTTGACGAGCTGGTCGAATGACGGCTTCTCGACCTCGACCAGCAGGCCCGTCCACCCGTGATTCTTCTCGAGCTCCAAAGTATTGGACATCGTCTCTCCATCCAACGCTCCTGCTTCCACGAACACTCCTCTTCTCTGGATATATAATTTTTTGTTGAGATTGTCGTTTGAGTTTGCTATCAAATGACTGTACCCCTAGAGCAGCATCAGAGACAGATATATAGAAACTGAAGAAACTTATATTTTGATAACAGAATCTATGCGTATCACATTTGAAGGCAAAAAGCAAACAAGCAAATCTGCACAGCTCATTCTTGCCTTAAAATGATGTATTTATCATCTGCAAATGTACCAGGCGCAATAATTTAATTCAATGGAGTTTTTGAAGTTCATACCACGTTCTTGAAGATGAGCTCTGTAGCCTCGTGGTAAAATCGTTCGCTATCCAGGATCCGCTGCAGCGCCTTGTTGCGCCTCCCCAAAAGGTTGTACGGCAAAGAGGAAGGTGGAATCAGGAGCTGTAATATAAATAAAATGTGTCTCAAATTGTTACACATGGAATTTATATTTAAGTCAACTGGTCGAGGAAGGAATACAAGATAATGCAAGAGCAATTTCTGTCGCAGGTAAAATGAATGATAGAATCAAAAAGTGATTCTATGAATGTATAGGTAATCAGCCAATAACCGGACATTGAGATCGAATTCTTAATTTTCAATTAGATTTAAGACTTATAACATGATTGATGGCAACTTAGGCCATCAATCAGCTGTTTTTAGGCCAACTGGCAGAGCTGGTGGATTATGCCGCACGCAATGTGTTGATCAATTTCATGATTTATTGTTATTCTATTCACATAATCTCAGGTTTGTATTCTAGATCTAGTTATTATGACTATGATCTAGTTAGTGACATATTTAATGCAGAAACCTTAAGTTTATCTTTCAAATATAACCCGAAGTAGATTATATTACCAAAAAAATACATATCGAGCAACAAGAGAAATTCAATTGAATTCATATTTCTGTCTCTCTAAAGACAATCAGGAAATAAAATTAAAAATTTTAATTTCACTTATAGAAAATAGAATGTTTTCATTCCGTGTTTAATTTGCTAACTTATATTCTCCTTTCGCTTCATTGCTTCACTAAGGGTTGGCTTCATTATCAAATTAATTACAACACGGCCTCACTTGTTCTCTAATGTAGCGCAGTAACTCCGGATGGTTGTAGCGTATTGGTCCCTGCAATGACAGTCGCAGAAACTCTGCAAATAATCGTATTAAGTAGTAATAGCATGCACTTTAAAAGTAATTACTCTGTCAAAATTTATAACTAATCTCAAAGTCTCTCATTCCTAGCGTCTATATATAGCGCTAGTGCTTTCCGTTTATATTCGCATTCGAATTTAGTATCGGCAAACACATTCACATTTTATCCACTCTCAATTGGCGTGTTCTATGTTGAAATTGGATGTCCACCCTCCCGCTGATCCGATAATTTTTGTCATATTATTTCCCATATTTATGCACTGAAGCACTGAAATCTATAAAAAAAACTCTCATTGGCTGATTGAGAATCAAAACTAACAAATTGTATATGTAAAAATTACTTTCCGGTCTTTTGCAAAACCTGCATCCAATGAAACATGCTCGCCTGAGTGACACAAATGTTTATATTCCCGATCCTTCAAGTTAGAGGTTTTTATCTATCAGCAACTTGCCCTAGCAATCATTTCAGTATTATCCACCGACCTGAAGTATGTGCAGACCCCACGACGTACAACACCCAAGTGATGACGACAGCCAACAGAACTGCCGCTGCTGTCACCACCAGCGCCCCGCGACAGGCGCTCGCTCCGATTTGCCATTTTACCGCCACCGCTGCAGGGTGCGATTTGAAAAGATCAAAACTCAAGCTTGGAATATAAATTTTATGGTATATTTACAATTCAGTTAACCAATTTATGTGCAAAATAATCTCAAATGATTATTCATTTATCCTAAGTGGTTTTGATGAGAAGTTTCGGGTCAAAACAATGTGTATTTTTCATGTTATATGATAGACATTATTATTACTGTGAATGGTTTAGTGAGAACATTATCGATCGCATTGACAAGGCAATTGGAACCGACTATTTTGAAACGAATAGAAATTGTTAGATACATTTTGGATAATATAGATTTTTCCACAGCTTAACTGTACAATGGACGATTTCGTCCGTTCATCATAAATTCTATATTAGCTATCCGGACATATCTTAGCTTTTTGCTTCTTACCTGCGAAATTCTGCGTGACGATGTAAAATTCATTAATTTCCCTGGAAATGTATAGGCTGACATGTAATTGTTTGTTCAACGTAAGGCTAATGTTTTTATATAATAATCAGTAATTCACGATTTCGTGTAAACTAAATTTCAAGATACATCACAATATGAAATATAAATCATGTAAATTTTGATACAATTATTTTTACTTGCAAGAAGCTATAAAATATATTAATATCACACCAAATGGATCATATAGGCATGTACAACTCGTAGTCTCTACCTCCACGGATGATGATACTATAAAAATATATTAATATCACACCAAATGGATAATATAGGCATGTACAACTCGAAGTTTCAACCTCCACGGATGATGAAACTATAGAAATGTATTAATATCACACCAAATGGATTATAGTGGCATGTACAACTCGTAGTCTCTACCTCCACGGATGATGAAACTATAGAAATGTATTAATATCACACCAAATGGATTATAGTGGCATGTACAACTCGTAGCCTCAACCTCCACGGATGCACTGCCAACGCGTAGCCAGATGTAGTTTTTCTGGTCCGGACGCGGAGGAAAAGTGCGCTTAAATTTTTCTTCCTCTTGTAGAGAGGATCCAATATAATATTGTATTACTCATTACTAAGATGAATAATACATATCAAACTTTTATTGAGTTTTATTGCAACAACCTCTGCCATGGTGTTAAAATAATTGTACAAAAATTTAAATTTTTAATTTTTTGAAATTTTAAATTATTTTTTATTAATTAAAACCAATAACCAATTCTGATAATTGAATTCGGGATAAAACTACTAGAAACATAATTTCTGAAAACTTCTTTTGCATTTTCACTTATTTTGTTGCCATCGCTTTGGAAAATCTACGCTCATCAATTAACGTACGTTAAAATTGTGTTTCGTTTAAGTTTTAAAACGCCACAATAGCGTTCAACAATTTAGTTAAATTATTAATATAACTTTTCAATAATTCTTCTTCATCGAATTCTTCGGTCTAAGAAGTAGGCATTACATTGTAAAACCCTGCTTCTAGAGTTCTGAGTGTTTCATTCATTTAATAAGGGTTTTTTAATACCTGCAGTTCCAATCGAGGTTATATACCGACTTTAATATGTTTTATTGTTTGATACTGAAATTCTTTCTAAAAAATGTAGGATATTGCCTTGATTGGGTATAGACAATCTATTGTTTGATATTATCAGGATGAAAAGCCTGATGTCTAATAATAATTTAATTTAGACGTCTAATAATAAATGTCTAATAATAATTTAATTTAGACATCTAATAATAATGTCTAATAATAATTTATTTTGCTGCATACTGGATCACGGGTGATTATGAGAAGCATACGTCAGTCCTGCGTCGTTAATTATCTTTAGGATCGAATAACCAATCCTTTCATTGCTCTAGAAGAAGTTGCATGGTTCCCCTTGTTGTCCAATCTATACCTCTACAAAATTCAACCGACATAAAAGAATGGAGAATGCTTGTAATTAATTTTGATTGAGCCGAAACGAATTTAGAAGGGTGTTATTCAACAAAACTATTTTCTCGAATAATACTTCTTACTTTCCCTAGTATCTGAATATATCTTTTATATTTTATTGCTTTCATGTTGACCCTTCAATTGCATAAAACCGAATTATATACATTTTCCTGCCTCAAGTAAACGCCTTCTTTTGATCTTCAATTCCTATTTTGGCGATTAACTCAGTAAGAAGCAACGTCTTTTGCAAACACTATTAGTAATCACGGCCTTTTGTTAGGAACAGGGCCTTGTGGCGCAATGGATAACGCGTCCGCCTACGGAGCGGAAGATTCCAGGTTCGATCCCTGGCAAGGTCGTAGTAGATTTTTGACAAGTCAACTTGTTAAAATGAACAAGATTAAAGAAGTGAGTTGGGAGGTTTGATTCACAGTTACAAGGTGAAAATTCTGGTTGATATTAGAGAAGTGGCCAGGCCCAGGTTGCCGAGATGAGTTGGATTGGAGCCGTGATACAGCAAACTGAGCATAATTTCGGGGATGTCTGGAATCGGTGATATAGTGAAGATGCCCCAACCTTCTTTGTTGACATCCCGATATTGTCATAATATTGGAATAACTAATGAACAATAAATTTTTAATATTGATTTCAGAATCCTGATCTTGTTTGGTTTCCCCAACGATGGCGCGTGAGCACAGCAAAATTGAAGCAGTTAGTTGCGTGTTTGACCCCGCAACGAGCTGCGAATTTTCACCGATGTTAAAAATTCGGCGACAGGTCCTACGGCTTAATGAACGCTAAAACTACTATTAAAATTATTTATTATTATTAATATGATTACACTAGTGGATTGACAGTCATCATATCTAATATGCAATGCTCTCCACATTTATTGGGTAAAACGCGTAATTTTCTTCGTGTTTGAAATAATTGGCAATTTACCAGCCATTGAACTCACATCCAAAGATTTAAATTCGCCATCAGGAGAACTTGAACCTCAGGACGAAGCTGCCACCTGAGAACAACTCACAGAACCATAATGAAAAAAAAACACTGGAAATTTTTTTATTAAATTAACTCCAGTTATATAATCTTGGTTTTTTCAATTAAGGGAGATGTAAAGTACGAAATGGTTGAACTTATTAATGTGATTCACACATATACTAATGACGTATATGTGTGAATCCCAATTATCTCAGACCAATCGAAGAATAACTTTATTTTTATTTACTGAATTATGAAATTCAGATGTTGTAAATAAATGGTTTCATCTATTCTAACGAAAAATCGGATTATCTTTAATCATCGCATGAAATACGATAAAGAAGCTTATGTTAAAAGATCCGATGAAGCAAGAGGGATCTTCTTTCACAAATTCTTTAACGGCGTTATGGGAACCTATAAATTTATTATGAAGCACTAAATGATGAAGCGATAGTTTCAAAAAAAGCAGCCACGTCTGGTTGAGCCACGTCTGGTTCAGCCGCGTCTGGTTGAGCCACGTCTGGTTGAGCCACGTCTGGTTGAGCCACGTCTGGTTCAGCCACATCTGGTTGAGCCACGTCTGGTTGAGCCACGTCTGGTTCAGCCATGTCTGGTTGAGCCACGTCTGGTTCAGCCACATCTGGTTCAGCCACGTCTGGTTGAGCCACGTCTGGTTGAGCCACGTCTGGTTGAGCCACGTCTGGTTCAGCCACGTCTGGTTCAGCCACGTCTGGCCCCACGTCTCAAAAGCAGCCACAAAAAAGACGTTTGTAAGTGAAAAAAAATCTTTGTGATCGTCAGTGCTCAGTGAAAATATGGTGAATTTTCATGGCGTTCTTTCTTTGCTTCTAAAATCTTAGTTGTAGTATAACGCAAACATTTTAAAGTCTAAAATTTGTAAAATGACTAATATTCATTAAAAAACATCAGGTTTGACTCACTAAAGAAATAATTCATGTGACCTTGAACTTGATCACCCAACTGAACTTGAAGACTCTGCCCGCGGCTTCATTATTTTTCGAAACTTAGGAATGGTCTAAAATATTACAGCTGGATTGCCACCTGAAAAGTTTCAGTCGACGTGGCAAGAATTGCGGTGGAAATTGATTTTCCTTGGTCGAGACCTACCGCCGCTTGAGGATTTTTTCGTGCGCTATGAGGAACAAAAATTTTAGAGCCTTTAAATTTTGCACTGGGCGATGGTGAGCTCCTGTGTACAATTGCCGCCTCAGCAAGTATCAACCTTAGAGAAAATAATATCTTTTTCAAAATATTTTTGTTTGCTTTCAGACGTCCTATTTTGTAAAATAAAGTTCCTTACTGAGAATTTTTTGACTTATCTCTTTAGCTTAATGGTCATCATCTTATGAATTAATGTTCGTTCAGCTATTAATTTTTACATCACATTTGCATTACGATGAAACTAACGTAATTAGCTGTTACCCAATGTGTCAAGGCGAGTGCCTTATAATGCTCATCCAGCCTTCCCACGATGCATTGTATTTCTTCAATTATTATGCTTTTGCAGTGCATTTTGATTGAGTTGGAATTTTTAACTATTATTTTAAATATTTTTCATAAGTTTGGTTATACACAACTTGAGAAACTTCACTCGCGTCCAAAACGCCCCTGAATAACAGTTTTCTTTGCACGCGCGAACCATAGTTTTCTCTGAATGGAAACCGGTAACCCGGTCTTCCTGCAACCTGTATCATCATAAGCTCAAATATTCGGAACGTGAATTTATACCCGTTATGGCAGAGTATAATTATTGAAATGGAACTCGATAAATAAATTCTCGAACTATTATGGACATAAATTTTCTATTGCCGCACAATTGTGCAAAGAAAATGTGTTTTTTTTTGCATCATCTAATGATGAAAACAAATCCGGTAAATATTTTAATACATTGACCCGAACCCTAAGTACAACAAAAAATTATATTTTTATGATGAAATGCAAAGTTTGATTCGACGTTATTCCCATGAGTCCTGAATGTTGGCTCCATGAAGCTGAAGCAAATAGCCAATCGAAGAAAATATTTTTATTCCAGAATCCTGAATGCGCTCAACTACAATTGGATGCCAAAATCGATTTGTATTTTCCTATTTTGGCAATTAGGCTCGAATATGAAAGCTTCTTATGTCCTCCTAACTCGAAAAGAACCTAAGATTACTCGAGCCGGGAAGTGGACGCGAAGTTGTTAAGAGGTTTAGGGATTTTTGGTAGCAATTGTTCATAAAAGAAAAGATGTAATCGGACATGAAGAGCCGCTGGACGATGGGAAAACTCGCACATGTTCAAGGTGCGACCGATACTAACTACCAGCGACGTATCGGAGGACATGAAACTGTGCGCTGCTGCAGACACTGCGTGAAGACTGTTGCTGCAGACACTGCGTGAAGACTGCTACTGCAGACACTGCGTACACATGACTGCTACTGCAGACACTGTCACCACCTGACTGCTACTGCAGACACTGCGTACACCTGACTGCTACTGCAGACACTGCGTACACCCTGTCTCTTATACACATCTAGATGTGTATAAGAGACAGGCCGTGCACCACTCACCTATGAAGGACGAGGTGTTGGTCAGGCCGTGCACCACTCACCTATGAAGGACGAGGTGTTGGTCAGGCCGTGCACCACTCACCTATGAAGGAGGAGGTGTTGGTCAGACCGTGCATGTACTGTATGTGCCACACTGTACGCTTGGCAGTTTTACCGCCGTTGGACTGCTGCTGGTGGACCTCCAGTCTGCTCATGGTGTAGCCCTCGCACTGAGTGCTGTCCCTCCGGTAGATGCGGAACTGCGCATGCGATTACGATTGTGAAAACAATAGCGATTGAAAAAAAGTTAATGAGAACGCTGTAAGTTGAAACGAGCTTTATTTCCCCCGCTGAAAGTGAAAGAAATGAGAAGTGATCTCACATAAATGTGTATCAAATACTAGATTGAGAAGGTGCCTTAAAAAACATTTTTAATTCGAAAGATTAAGGTCACACACATTACAGCAGAAGCTCTACAAATTTTGTCATTTTGTGACTAACGCTTCCATAAAGATTCGCTGCATCTTCTTTATGTAGAACTATCACATTTCTACATAAGTTTAAATTTATATCCAGCTGTGCAGAAATTGAGCAAGAGATTGCCTCTTCATGAGCTGATATGCTTAAACAAGTTTTTAAATTGACGCTAAAATAGCGATTAAATGTAGTTCTTAAATAAAGTTTTTTCACGAAAATAAAAATTTGAGAGCCTGACACAACTAATATTTCATGACATATGCTCAGCACCAAAATTTAGTTAATATACGAAACCCAACTGATTTGTCAAAAATTAAATGGTTTTTCGTCGGGTTCATGATAGAATAAAAAATGGGCTTGGAACGAAACCACACAAATAAAGATTCGGTGAACGTGCTTCACCGTGTGAACGTGTCTTTAGCTATTTCCATTTTAGCTACTCAACCATTTTTGTTAACATGAGAAAATTTTTCAGCTAATTGGAGTAATTATTTTCTTAATAATCAAGAATAGAAGCTTTCTATGATAGTCCTTAAGATTAAGTTAAAATTAAAACATTTTTGCAGGAAAATTTGCTATCGTGTACCGTAAAATAGTAAAGAGTGTCTTAGATAATTCAAGTGCAGACACTGAAGGCTGACATGGTGCAGTATTCACAGTGTTTCGGGGCGTAGTCACGATGCACGATGAAGCTTTGAAATTTCACGCAAATAAAAGTTTGCCCCAAAACCAATACATTGAGATTGCAACCTTTCATTATTATGAGTATGATATCAAGAAGAAATTGTTTTTTGAAAATAAATTGAAACCCAAGATCGCCGTCAGCTCAAAATGACAAGATTATAAATATTTTGAACTGACCGCGCCGCACTCGAGGCTCGTGTTGTCGAAGTGCGGCCAGTAGGGGCAGCACGAGGCACAAGCCAAAGGATCTCCTCTGCCTGCGTCACCGCCTTCGTCCCCAGACTTGCTCGTCTGCTCCTTCGCGTGCCGGCGCCGCTGACTCAGCGAGGATAAAATGCGCGAGGTCTTCGATGCTCGTTTACTTTCTGCCCAGCCAGAAGCAGTTCATTTTGTAACCGGCCTTCGGTTTTTATGGGCCCAAAGCTCGAGTCTCGCCACAGTATAATTTGCCCTTTATAAAATAGTCTTAATTACCTTTTAGCTGACAAAAATTGAACGAGGCAGCTTAGGAAAATTGACATCAACATGTATAATAATTTATTTTTAAGTACCCCACCAAGACAGTTGTCATGCCAAAGGCAGTTGCACATGAATACATCAGATAGTACTATACTAAATCAGTGATAAGATCTTAGATGAGTACCGGTATGTCTTGTCGTGGACTGACCAGCCTTGGAGAGCAAAGCGGGGCAGCGGGCGAGCAGCACGACGACACGCACGTCGTGCTGCCACACGCAGCGCCACACGTTCACCGTGTCCTCTGCTGCCAGCGACTGTACCAGGTAGAACAACTGCCGCTTCTGACCTGCCGTCGCCTGCAACAAAGTGGCAGTTGAAGCAAGCAAACCATTTAATATTACTCATCAAAAATATTCGACAAGCAAACACACACTGATGCTGTATAACGCTCCTAAAACAAACGTTTATGTAACTCGACTTCGCAATCCGGGGTAGACAAAATGCCACGATTCCAGTCTTTAAAAGCGTAAATATGAACAATAACAGGGAACAAATCGTACAGAAACTTGACAGCTTGTGTCTACAATTCATCGCTACAAAATAATGGGATAACACGAAAAATGCACGATCATACAGTTAATCAAAATAATCAATACTTCTGATGGATAAGCGTTTGATTCTACTTGATATTTCTAATCTCAAAAATGAAGAACGTGAGAGAAGAGACATGCGCTCACGGTGACATGAGATGCGTTGATGTAGCCAGTCTTGTTGTCAGAGGTAGGCTGGAGCCGCACTCGGTTGTCAGGGTAGGGGCATGGCAGATCAGCGGTCGTGATGTCGCTCACAGTGCCGCGCTCGTTGAAGAACACCGCGTTACTTTTGGCCACGCCAATACCACTGAACTTGATGGGCAGTTCAGCGCTCAAAAGCTCGTTCTGAAGCACGCGTGCCTGCCAAACATTGCTAACATTAAACAACCAACCTTCACGTACAAGCATCTACACGTTAATAATGTGCCTAAATGATAAGAAAATATTTATTCACTAATATATTAACAGGAAACGAATTGATATACGATAAACGCATGACATAAAAACTCAAAGATTGCACGACCTTTAATTAATTATTGAAGATTTAAATACAACTTTGAAGATGCCGTTTCATCACGCACCCTGGGATCACGCGTAGCATAGATACGGGACAAAATTGATGAATTTTGTGACTTGTTTTGTGGTGCGGAGGTTGCAGAAGCAGCGGCGGCCACAGAACTTGGTTTTGAGGAAGCATCTGTAGGATTAGGATGTACAGCGCCGCTCGGAGACTCATGGCCAGAAGGCAGATCTTCAGAAATTTTCTTGTCGTTACTCGAGTGATTATGAGTAACATTGCGGGCATAAACCACGTTTAGATCAGTTGTATTTCCCTGGTCTGTGGCTGGTACAGAAGACGCAGAAGCTAGAGTAACAGTAACAGACTGGGAAGATGCAGGCACTGGATATACTGACGCCGAATTGCGAGATTCAGCACATGATGGGTCAGGGGAAGCTGAGCTTACAACCGAAACATTTAGCTTGCTTAATCGGCTTGACGAAAGCGAAATGACTGCCATGTTAGTATCGCAAGCAGTCACATTGCCTGGGATATCAACAGAAGATACACTCAGAGGAATGGCAGTAAAGTTATTATGATTAATGGTCACGATATTAGAGTGCACTGACGCCTTACGTTCCTGATGCCCGTCAGCGTGAGACGCGTTGGCAGCAGAAGATGATGTGATATCATTTAGTGATTCAGACGATCGCACTGGAGCGTTCAAGCTGTAGTGCGAGTTTCCCATCATGGGACTAGACTTGGTCGAGTCCACGGAGCTGGACAACGGGTTCGTCACAACAGGTTCAGGTTTGTTGAGTCGATGAGACACCACTGATAAGCTCGAGTTATTAGGCTTGCTGTCAACACTCGACCAGTTATTGGACTTCGTCACGGGTTGCTGGGGTTGCAAGAGCTGAACGCATTGTGAAGAACTGCGGTGCACGAGCGCTGACGTCGTGCCAGTCACTGCCCCTGAGAGTGCCCTGTACTGTTGCTGCTGTTGTTGTTGTTGCAGCTGCTGCTGTTGTTGTTGTTGGTGGTGGTGTTGCTGCTGCTGCTGATGATGATGTAGTTGCTGCTGTTGTTTTTGCTGATGTAGCTGTTGTTGTTGTTGTTGCTGCTGAAGACAATCTTGATGGTCTAACAGTTTCTGCAGTTGGTCCTGGTTGTAGACAAGACACTTGCTCTGCGTGGTTGCTATTTGTTGTTGTGGTTGAGGTGAGTACGCCAACACGTTTTGGTAGATAGGCTCAGCTTCTTCCTCAGCACTCACGGCTCGACTGTTGCTGAACAACCATAAATGTTTACATTTAGTACCAATAAGACCGGTAATAAAAAGCATCATTACTGTACCAACATTTCGATGAACAGATTCGATAATTAATTCAGACAATTTGAATTTTATTTCGGAAAAAAACACGAAATAAATGACAAATAAACCTAACTAAACATAATAATCACTGTACGTGAGCACCTAATTTTAGAAAAAGGGCCAAGGGATGGAGAACAAATATTGAGTGTAGCGAATAATATAATGAGTGGACGAACCGAGCGGTGTGCTGGAGGCGATAAACAGCAGGGGTCGGCGAGAGGCAGTCGGTAGACCCTGAGTCGTTGAGGGCGCCGAGGGAGGAGAACGAGTGCAAGAACTCGCTCGTGTTGTTGCCTTCAACACAAATACTCGTCACAAACACCCGACCGCTAACTATATTTCTCCTCAAATAAATTAAATCACAGACTATGCCACTTTGCCAGGCTGCCTGCAATAATCATGTAGGCTGAGTTGAACTACCCTGCGTTTCTGGAGAGAATTCGGTCACATACCAAGTTGAGGAAAAATTATCTACACTCTCGTCGATAAATGACCAAACACAAATGTTTCCTTCAAGTACTAGAAAAAAGACGAACAGAAACGAAAGATAAATTTTATGATGACTATGAGAATATTAATGAACCTAAAAACATAATTTACAGGAAAACCGAAGTAATTGTTCGAGAATCTCCCCGGTTGTGCACTAAGCGCACAGTGAAGTCAAGTGAGTTGGATGAAGCGACCACTCACCAGCCATGTGATTGCGTAAGCTCAGCACAACGTCATCGAGATCACAAAGATTCTCGTACGTGCGTGACAGCCCGCGTCCTGCATGAACAAATAAAACTTCATTTACAACACGGCTGATGGAAATACAAATAAGATTTAAAGAAAAATTACTGGTGCAGGTGACGCAAATAAGATCAATTTGAAGATGTACCTATGAACCAGTCTTTCTCGGAATTTTGAAAATTAAAGGCGCAAACCGAAGTTGTAGAATTCATCCTCCACTGTCACTCTGTCATGATCTTATACATATATTTGTCAGAGTTTGTGTGTTTGAAGCCTGGCACCACAAATATATAGGGGCTGTTGAAGCGCGTATCCAGGATACTTATTTTTAAAGGATATCACCTGGGCCTGAACATTTATTTTTAGCGGGCGAATACAGACCCCAAAAAACTAATAGGAAAATAGAGGAAGTGTATAATCTAAAAATGTAAGTGAGAACACTAAATTCTGTGTCTAGGCCAGAAATTTTCTTTCAAATGCATTTGTTCTAATTTACGAGCGATGCATTAGGTGGTGATATCAATGAGATACTAGACAGACGTTTGTCAGGGAAATCCATCTGATATGGCAACAGCGCAACGTCATTATAGCTAATTACTAGCCGCAGGTCTCCGCTGTTGTTAATTGTCTCTTCAGAACTCGTGGGGGGTGGTCGGCGCTCTGATAGTCTTCCGCCTTCGGTAAGTCAGACTTGCGATTCCTGTTAGTTTACCTGCCTTGAGCAGCATTGTCCATATCTGCAGTTAGACGGTCACAGTGAACTACGGTCAAATACTTAGTCTCTGGCTCTGGAGTTACCTTGTTACCTTGCCTGCTTCACGGAGCCTTGCCTGCTTCAAGGAGCCTTGCCTGCTTCACGGAGCCTTGCCTGCTTCACGGAGCCTTGCCTGCTTCACGGAGCCTTACCTGCTTCACGGAGCCCTACCTGCATCTGGGCCTTCATTTAGATTACCAATTATTAAGTATATGTCTAAGAGTCTGTCGCGTTTCTATCACCTCCCTTGGCAAGGTTTGGTTGGGTTCGAGTGGCTGTGAACCCAATTGGCTGGACTAACTCAGGGACCGTAATTTGGGATCTCCCAAGCTTCACTTGGATCACTGGAGTGAGTCCTGATTCCTTTACAACGTTATAGTCACACGCATTATAAAGAAGCCTCAAACCGGGCAACTTACGGGGCATGCACCCTGGGGATTTTAAGTAACTGTACATGCAAACAATTCATCAAATGCTTAACGATATTTCATCAAGTCTACAACACTTCTCATATATCTCATGCAGAGTAGAATGAGACGTGACATTCAATGCATTTTCAAATCATTCCAGAAAACGACATCCAAATTAATCGTAAATAACAACTAACATCAAGAAATACCGAACTATTCCTAACGTACGTGCAGCTCACGAGTATTGTGACATTCGTGTGGATAGCGAGCGGGATGCTGTACCATTGCTGACTATGTACTATCGCGGAGAAAACTTGAATAGAAATGATGATCGAGTTCATCTATGTCCAATTTATCAGTGATTTATCAATAAAAAAAGAGGTTAATTAAGTGTCGAAAAAAAAAATTAATTAAAGTCAAGATAATGTACAGTCACAATCAATTTAGACACACTTAATCCGTACGATATGTGAATCGTAGGTTGGGTTGTTATTTAGATCCAAATTGAACAAGACTCTAGCTTTAAATATTCCGATGTACGCATCATAAATTGGATTAAAGAACGCAACTAAAGACACGAAAAGGTATGAACTCGTCCAGCAGAACAGGGCTAATTGTCTCCGTACTCAGATATTTGCAGAAATTCAACTAACTCAAAAAGTGAATTATGCCGAAGCACCATGGTCACAATTTCCACTGAATTCTCAATGTTTAAACAGTGTATGAAGATTAAATCACGAACATTATCTTTACTTCACTTGAAGAGCGTTTTCAGAACTTCTATTGTCTGATAGAATACCAAACGAATCAATTGAAATTTTCATTGCTGGTAACTCTTTTCTAAAGTCCAATATTGAAGATCACAGCCAAAATTTTTAAAGATAATGTTTTTTAGTTATGAAAAAGTTTGGAGGTAAGAAAACAATGGCTGGTAATCGATAAAAATCCACGAAAACCAAAAAATAAATTCGGTAGCATAAGACGTTGATAGACATGGTAACAATAGTAATAAACAGAGACACGAACTATAAAGCGACTTTACGCAGCTGCTGCCACGAAAATTTCAGCCACTCAAGTGGAAAAGGCTGATTAGAAATGTTAACTCCAGAGCTTACTCAACAACCATAAATAAATGACATGTTAATGCTGGCTACGTGCAACAAAAAAATATCCGTCATCTTGCATAGCCCCATGTGCATCGCAGGAGCGACAAACTAACACCCACTTGCTGCAGGTGGCTGCTGAGAGGCGGAGCTCAGGTGCGACCAGCTGCCTCCCAGGGCCTCGCTCATGCCCTGCACAGCACGCGTCATTTGAGACATTTTATACTTCACACCTTAGCAGTGGAAGGTACGATATTATGCAGCTTAATTATTGAAACAATAGTGCGCAGGTAATCATTTACAGCTCTAATAGGTAGACGGGGCCTTAATTTGTAATGAGAGGAAAAATCTCTTACAAAATGAGGCTGAGGAACTGATGCAGCCGCGGCCGCCGCCACAAGATCAGGACTGCTGGAGCTGGTGCTCTTCGAGTAGCCAGCAAGACGCTGTTCCTGCGGCAGGTGTAGGCGCACAGCGGGGTAAGGGGGCGGTGGTCTGTACTGCAGCTCTGCCACCTCCTCCCTGTACAGCCCTCTCCTTCCCACCTGCTGGACACGACACTAATACAATGATTCTACATTTGACATACACGCAGCTCAGAGTTAAGGCCTGATCTCACGCATTAGTCTAGGAGGCTTACAATAAACTATTCTGATAATTAAATTAAATAGAAAATGTTAATTCATCGTCGTCCTGAAAATACTTAAGAAAGAAGTGGTACATTAGTACATGCGTCGATTACAGGTTTGAAATTCTGTGCGAAAGAACGTTGCCATTATTCGTAACAGAACACACAAAGCTTGGGCGATGCGACATTTAGAGAGAGTAAATTTATTTATTTAGAAAGTTGAAAGAGAGGACGAGAATGGCACCACCGACCTCGAGCGCTGCAGCGGTCTGCAGGTCGGGCGTGCTGTAGGTGCTGTGCAGGGAGAAGGGCATCCGTGTCCCCACACCACCACCATCCCCGCCACCCACCACCGCCGCTCGAATACTGACGGCGCGACACACGCTGTGGTAGTCGGGGGCTTGGCGGTATTCCGGCAAGAGGGCGCGGCGAAAGCTTAGGTTGAACTCAGGCTCAGCAGAAGGCAGATTTGGATTAGAGTTGTACAAGAGATAGTGATGCTGCTGCTGCAAGTGCAACGACGACAGGTCGCCGGGAGGCGGTCTCGTGTGGTAAGGCACGTCCATGGCATGCAGGAGATCCGGCGGGCGGTACAGGGACGGGTTAGAGGCATCGAGGCGCTTCAGCTGCGACGCGCTCTCATCGCGGCTTGAGTTGAGCGAGGCTGCGCTGAAGACAGCGCGTGTTGCACTTGGGTTGCCAATGTATTGACTTCCAGAAGCAACAGGGTTCATGGTCGTATCCGTGGCGGTACTGACGACAGAGTATCGTGAGTCATAGTAGTCTTGCATGGATGCGGCACCAGCGCTGGAATTAGCTCGGCTAGCGTATAGCTGCTGCTGCTGCTGCTGTGCGTTAACACGGCTCTCCTGCAGCAGGTGATGGTCTTGATGAGCTGCCATTGCCCGGGGGCTCGCCATGTAATGCAGCGTCTGCAACCTGCAATGTTGCTCGAGCTGGCGCTCAGCGTGGCGCCCAGATTGATGGTAGCTCAGTTGATCAGGATCCAACAGTTGAGGAGGAACTGTAGCTGACATAACAGACTGCTGCAGGTCGGGAATAGTCAGGCCTCGAACAGAAACTTTTCCTTCCCCGCCAGCTTTGTCCATCTCCCCACTCAGCCCTCCTCCTTCGCTGCCACTCGCAGCCTCCTCAAGTGAGCGCTCCAGCAGCTCTTGGTTGCGTTTGAAGAACGTGTGCTGCCCATGAGAAGGCGGGGGGAACATTATTAATTAATCATAGCCGGTGATTCAACACCAGACTTTCACAATAACTTATTGCGCGCAAAATCAGTCAACTGGCATGCCTAAAATAACTTAGCCACCCATTAAAAAAGTTTTACAGTAGTGCAGTTGTTTTCCTATTTATCGTCGTGGCGTAAGTCTAATTGAGCTGAACATATGGGTTGAACTAATGGGCAAAAATGCGATGCGTCAGCCCCTTGTCTAAGAATGAACACAACAGTCAGAGCGTCATCGCCCATGATGTCATTAGTCTCTCTTACGTCACCTTCTGTGACGTCACATGAAGGGTTTCAGCATATATAAGCTATTCGAGCTGATCGCCAGGCTGCTTCTGCAGTCATTCGCAGCTAACTCTAGACGCGCCAACTACGTCCACCCTCTCGACTCCGGCATTCAACACGTAATGTCGTAAACTCCATCTCATCCCAAGTGCATTTATTCTGTAAACCTATCTATAGTAATTTATAATAAGTACACGGCTCGTTATTTATTCCTTTCCATGTCAGCTTAAAGTCATTCGGAGAAAAAACAACTGTGGTCCTCAGAAGATTATATTAACCAAATAATTTATCAGATCATCAAACAATAATATCAGTTCGCCAACGAAAAAACTGGCAAAATGACACAACACAATCTTGTGAACAGGTCAGCGTTTTAAGATACTCAAAGAAGCTGGTTATGCGAACTTGAGAGTAGTGATGTCAAAGAAATTAGCGAGGATCACTGACGCGTGAAAATGAATCAATGAGCGAGACGACTGTAGTCTGCAAGACACCAACCTGCTTGACGCACATCTTCCAGATGTACTTGGCTGCATCAGGCTCATCGAAGGTGAACTGGAACGTGCGACTGCTCTTAGGGCACTCGATGGCGAACGCCCGCTTCAGGTTCACCAGGTTGCTGATGTCGTTCCACCTGCAAGCCAAAACTTTAACCTCTGAACAGTACTGGAAACTTACGTACTGTGGCCGCGTTCCAGTAAGTACCATCGCGTACAACTAATACTATATATTAGGAGCTAACATGCACGATTAGTTGTATATTCACCAACATTATTCACCAATTTTTATCTTAATACGTAAAGGTGCCGTTTAGATCTAACGGTTGGAAGCTAGAATAATGTAAGAAGGGCGTATCGACAGTTGCAAATCGTAGCACAACGATGTTTTGGCAGCAAACAATCATCGTTCGTAAGTGAAACACTGCCTACTTCATATCGTACATGATCAGGGAAAGGCTCGCGCATCGCTTGGACGGCGCACCACTGCTCTATTGCTGCATTGCATACCAAGAAGCGTGACGCACATTTGATTTTATAACGATTCTTGGATTTCAAGTTGCCCATGCAATCGCCATAATATCTACGTATAGTCTGTATTTATATACTATTTGATATTCAAATAGCTACAAAGCTTTTTGAAGGTAGTTGCATTAGATAAAGGTGAACATCATGGCATTAATATCATGCGTGGTAGAGTATATTCGTATATTGAGAGTAATACACTTATTACGAGAATAATTGTCCGGCAAGTTGCACAGAGAATTGATCACCAGTCATTTACGATAATAACTTAAGTCTAAGAAGGAGTTGATACTCGTGATAATATATATTATCAGTAAATAACAGGAGAAACTTGAAACAATGAACTTTGGAGGTAGACTTGGAATAATTGTTTGAAAAATGAAATAAAGCGCAAGAGCTCGCGTGCACCTGAGGGTGGTGACGGAGTGGCCTGACGCAGGGCGCACTGTGACTCCCACGAGGGACGCCCCCAGGTACACCTCGCTGCCACGCTCGTCACGAGCCATGAACGTCTCCTGCCCGTACCTGAACACGAGTACAGCGTGAACTTAGCGATACAAATGTCAAAGCAATTTGCAATGATTAGATTCATGAGATTTGTTTGACACGATTTACAAAATCTGCCTATCTACAATAGATATCAAGGTATATTAGGATTATATCATTAGAGATTAACTAAATTAAATTTTATTTCAGAATTATTTCATTTTAATGTCCATGGAATTACAACGAAAATACCCACCAGTCACTCTCCTTCAAGCAGCATCAAAGACAAAAATTATTAGGTTACGATTGGTCGCATAATAATAATATTTAGATTTAAACAGTTATATAAAACTATTTATCTAGCTCATAGAACGACTGAGAACATTTTTTGCGCGATAGTAAACTCAGATATAAAATTCAGACACGACACAATCCATTCAGCTCACGCTAAAATCATGCAGCAATTGTTAAACTAATTTATCTCCTAAGAAGCAGAGAATTCACACAAAGAATAATTAGTTGCAACTAGAAATGCGTCCCGTAATAGATTACAGGTGGCTCGGTGTAGCCCGGGATTGTTAAGAACTGTTATTTTGGAATCCTGTCATCATAAATCCCGTCATTCCCACTGTGCTCATTTCCGTGAATAATTATGGAGGTTATGTCTTCTAATTAAATGAAGACCCCTTCAAACGCACATTTTAGTACATTGGCTAGTACTCCTATTTTCCTTCTTTCAAGTTACTACATTTATCATTACCAATTGCAATATTTTAGCATCAGTTTTAGAGCCAATCCTCTCCTTTTCTCCCACAAAAATGAAATTTCCTTATCTGGAAATATCTTGGAAACGCGCATCGCCAGAAATAATGGAGGCATCAGACTTCAAACACATACAGACACATACACGAAAAAATTGACAAATATACTACTACACAAGATAAAACTTGTTAGTCTAATCATGATAGGAATGAAGCAGGGGCTTTCAACAGACCCTTCCAGCCGCTGCGCCTCGAGGATATAGTAGGTCTCAGCCAGAGACTGTGCGAGGCCCCTGAGGGAAGCATACTGCCACACGGCGAGCTCGAGCAGCACCGTGACCTCAGGCTCACTCAGACTAGGCAGTTTAGGCAGCACTACGAAGTCTTTCAGATATTCAGGAGTGTGGCGGTCTTGCTGGTGGTCACCTAACTCTGCTTGCAGGCTGTAGGAGGCCAGTAACACGGCCTGCTCGTAGTTGCAGCGCAACTTACCGTCCAGCACGTCTTGTTTTACCTGCACATATGAAATTAAGTGTATTCATTACCTTGCGTAATACCTTACTTCACCTAATGGTCAGAACTACGATTTGCAGCGTTGGATTACAACATGGTATGTACGAAGCTGTTTCGATTGTGCTTGAAAGTTGTTGTTCAGTTTTATTTACACAATAGATCGTTTCTATTGAAAGCCAGCAACTGAAGTGCTGAGGGGACGTTAGCGGCATTCAAAGTAGATGAAAAAGATTAATTAATGCACCCACAAAGAAAATGCGTCTAGACTGCTTGCAACTTCAGTAAAAATGATATCACATCGTATCCTAAGGGAATGCAAAACGACTGCTCTACAAGTTATTCATAGTTTTTTGTAAAAGGAACTCAAAAAAAAGTAACCTGCATGAAGAAGTGTGAGCGCGTAGTATCATCATGAAGTAGGCCCACGTCATGTATGTAGTAGAGCACCGAGAGAGTGAGGGCGGGACTCTGGGCAAATTTATCAAGCTGTTTCTTGAGAGGACGGTCCAGTTCCACCCACCGAACTTTGGGGTAAGGCCTCTTGGACATGTAACGTAGCCCAAAGAACTCAGGCTGCAAATGTACGAGTTCATTATTTAATTAGCTAATATTAGTGTACATTAAAATATAAAGCAATAACTCTCCACATACTTAGTGATAACATTTCCATTGTGTTCAAGAGTTATGTACCTTGTTGGAAATGATGTACAAATAATATAGATTAAAATATTAATAAAACCTAAGTTCTAAACTAAATTCTAAAATAATTGATCCTGCTAGTGATAGGAATGGGTTTTTGTTGTGCATACTTTATACGAGTACCTAACAGAGATTTCAAGTCAAAAAATTTCTGCATATTCTTCTGATACACACCCATCATCTAGACAGAGAAATATTTGTCAATCATCATGGTTGACTAGAGTACCATCAAAACAATTAAAATTTTTGGCACTGATAACACTACTCACAATTTTAAAAACATTATGGTTTATAACCCTAACAGCTGATACTTAACCTAAACCAAACTTCATAGATGAAGCACATTTGTAAATTTTTAAAGCCATTTCTTACTTTTACTTCCACGTCAACACTAAAATCCAGTAATGGCTCACCTGCCCAAGGCCAATCCTCTGAGCAACATTGTGAAGGCAGTGCTGACCAGTGGAGTCAGCAGAGAGTGTGCACTCAAGTGTGCTGCTATCCAGCAACTCAACACACACGACCAGCACAGAACGAGATACAACATTGTAGTGACGAGTCTTTGTGAACGGTAACTTGAAAGGCATTTTAGAATGTCTTGTCTAGAATAAGTGAAACTTAATATTATGCTCTTTTATTGCTGTCATATTTTGATTATCTGCAATTTCCTTATAGCTGCCAATCTGAAATTGGGAACAAGAGATGTTGAATATTCAGTCTGATAGACTTAGTTAATTCTTATAATTTTGTTTCTACATCTTGAAACTACTGTCTATTGAAATTTGAGGTAAAGTGAACTTCGATATAAAGTCAGAGATTAAGTTGCCAGCATACATACTTAACTTAAGAGTGTTCAAAGTTAGACAATTCCTAATGATATCATATATAAAAGTTTACAAAGTATGAAAAATTATTTAAAGTAAGTATCTACAACTTATATCAGTCAACCTGAAATATTGAGCAGATATTAAAAAATTATTTCTTCCTAATTGAATGAGGAAGAAGTGTCTTCACAGCTGCTGTGGGGGCCATGCAGATTGCTGACGCGTCTGCAGTCCTCTCCTCCCACTCCTCCAATGTGGTGGCATGGGCTCATTGGTATCTATCCCCAAATCCCACACTACCCTTTTCACCTCTGACACCCATCAATCATAAACAGACCCTCAAGTCAGCTGGGAGGGGCCGGTCCTTCCACTCTGTCAGATCCCAAAGATCCTAGGAGTCACTTCTGACCTCCACTTCACTTTCTCTCCACACATTGATGCAATATGCCAGAGAGCCCGTCTGCACCTCAACATCCTCAAATCCCTTGCCAGAACCAGCTGGGGTCAGCAGAAGGAAACCCTCTTGGTGACTTTCAAGGCCCTTATCAAATCTCTAATCACCTATGCTGCCCCAGTATGGTTCCCTAACGCCTCTCCTTTGGCAATCTCTACACTGCAAACTATTCAAAACTCTGTCCTCCGCATAGCCACGGGATCTCTTCAAATGGCCTCCACTTCCCATCTGCACAGCAAAGCTGAGGTCTTACCTTTGGCCGACCACCTCTCTCTCCTCTGCTCACAGTACCTACCTTGCCAGCGCCCTTGGACCACACCATCCCAGCTACCCCATCATCATCCAGACATCGGGGTCCTGTCCCATGAAGCACACGCTTCAGGCCCGTTTCCTCCCTTTGGTCTCTCAACTGCTGGTGGAGGGATCTCTCCCCCCCCCCTCCGACTCCTACTCCACTGCCTTTAGCACCCTGCACAGCTCTGCTGTCTTCTCTTACCTGGCATCAGCAGCTCCTAGCAAGGTGTTGCCAACACCTGCCCCCTCTGTCTCATCCAGCAAGCTATCCCTCCCCAGGGTAGCCAGAAGCACCCTTTCCCAGCTCCGCTCTGGCTACATATCAGAGCTCAACTTGCTTGTACCTTGCCTGTATTGGAGCTGCTTATAGCCCTCTCTGCCCTGAGTGTGGCGCAATGGACCACATCACCTCATCAGCTGCCCATTGCATCCCACCTTGCTGACCCCACTGGACCTCTGGCCTAACCCTGGACCAACTGCAGCCTTCCTGTCATCTCTCCCATTCTTCTCTGACATCTTTGGAGTGGAACCTCCACTCCTTCCTCCCCCGGAGCTGCCACCAAGCAGCAGTCCTGTGCAACTAACAACAACAGGGAGAAGTGACCCATTATGCTCAATTTTGATGACAGCAATCAGGCAAGGGGAATGGGTAAAATTGTTCATTGGCATATGGAAAATTTTCCTCGTTCATGAGAGGCATCTGCCCAATTTTCTAGTTTGATACAATAGGGAGAAACATTCAATAACAAACTGTCAAATTTGGCATAAAGGAATGAGCAAAAACCAGCTCTGCACATTGACAACTTCACCTTTGTCCATGGCTCTTGCCCGTATTTAAAGTAAGGCACAACAAAGGTTGAGGATGCAATTTCATTGCATTGAAAATGCCTAGGACTGATTATGAAGGATGGCAATTTCAGAATAAACATCTCCACATAAAATATGATTTCAAGTAAATTTGTATACTACTGAAAAAAAAAACAGTATAGTCAGATGGGGTGAGACAGGACTGAAATCACTAACAAGCCTGTAGCATCTATACCATGAATAACTGAAAAACCTTAAACCTATCATAAGGTGTAGTTATGCAATGGGCTTCTAAGTTACAACTCAGACGTTTTGCATCTAACATAGTTTTCTGTACAGATTAAAAAAAGTGAGCTGGTCCCATCTTACCCCATTGGGGTAAGATGGGACCAGGCTGGGGTAAGACAGGACCAACTGGTAATTCTTATGTTACAAGGTTTTTAATAAAAGTACAAATTCAATATTCAATATTAGGTATCCATCTATAAACACATTATTTGATTAAACAACCACTTGCTACTGTTTTGTGTGGTGGGAAGTCAACTCTAATATCAGTAACATTGGAGTTTTTGTCACGAGAAAACTTTGTTAAGCATAGTAATAGTGGGTTGGCTTTGGTTTATTGTAGAACACTGCTAAATGCTTCATTTATATTCCATTAGTGTCATTGTCTGAAAAATTTATCACATTGGTAATAAAACCAATGTATAATAACTTAAGTGTCAGACTGAGACGTTGTATGTTTTCTTGCTAACGGCATTTGTGGTGCACTTCATCAAACATAGCTCAGGCCCTCTCACAGAGTTGTGATCATAATTCTTTTTCATGTTTCACACAGTGATTTTTCCCCCAGCCAATCTTGCACATAGTTCTGCAGCTCACTTATGGGAATAGACATCCCTATTTTCTGTATCCCTTTGATGCAATTTAAAACTAAATTTCTCCAATTAAAAATGCTAACAAGTTATAATGAAGTTTGAGCAAAGAATACAAATTTTGACCAAAATACTCCATGTACTGCACAATAATATATTCATTTAAAAACTATTTTTGATAAACTGTAGGGTAATAGAGGACCATTTGTGGGGTAAGACAGGACCATTTGTGGGGTAAGATAGGACCATGTGTGGGGGTAAAAAACAATCATTTAGTGGTCCTGTCTTACCCCATGTCCAGTCCTTTTTTACCCCATTTTAGAATACATGTCAGGCAGTTATGGTAGCAGGTAGGAATGCCTAGTATGTCTAACGAGTTGCTTATTACTTGAGGTTACCTGCCTACATCCACAAACCTGGCCAAAAATTTTTTTGTCATTAGACAGAGCTTATTTCCCAAACAGGGTTAACTATTTTGTGACCCTTCTTTACATGGTTTTCTTTAAAAATTAGGCAGAAATTCATTATTTGCAGAAGAGGGTTGAAACAAATACTGAAATGACAGGCAATGACTGCTCTAACATATTTTTTTGTCAAATTAAATTAAGTGCAATTAGTGTGCACGCCATGGGCTGGTCCTTTCTTACCCTAAGAAGGCTGCGATCCTGTATTACCCCATTTGACTATATACTTAGTACAGTATGTTATGATTGATATAGAAGATATTTTATCAATAGACAGAAAATATCAATAGGTATATACATTTAGCAGATACAGATAAATACAAAATACTCCAATGCTGGCGGTGTTGACAAAATGTTTCATTGTAATATAAAACTTAATGTTATGGATGCCATTCTAGAATAAAGGCAGCTTTTGGAAATTGGAAGAACAAGATATATGCCAGTTTCTAATCTTGAACTATACACTTGCATATGGAATAATATATGAAATTTAAAGAAGAAAGTTCAGCTCTAAGCCTCTAGTGACTAGATCTTCAAAAGTTCTAATACAAGATTTCAATTAATTGTTCAAATTGTACATACTGAATCCTTATGGATCCAGTGTTACATCCTTTAGGTAATTTTTAAATCTTGTAGTTCAATTACATAGTTTTATTACCAAGCTGTTTAGGGATGATTTATTTTGCAGAAATCTTGTGGCTCCAAAAATGACAGGAAAGCTTTAGTTGCAGCTCAAAAGGTAGAGATGTCCCGGGCCTGGCCTGGAGGTTGGTTAGTTAGTTTAGTGGCCATGAGTTTACTAGTGCTTCAGCTATTTAGCTATCTTGCACCGAAAGTCATGATGAACATCACCAAAGAGGTGGAAGGTTTCAATTATTGGAAGTTTCTTAAATAAAAAATTAATCATCACTGATCACCCACAAAAGGCAAAGGGTCTCAATAGTTCAGCCTACTGAAGCTGGCTTAAAAGAAGCAGCATTAGCATCTCAAAGAGACAAAGTGACAAGGACTGAAGCAGGGACAGGTTAAAAGCCACAGAAACTAAGACACTCAAACATAAGGTTGCTTACACCGGACATCACCCGCCCACATGATAGACAGAGAAGGGAAATGTAAGGGATCCTACCTACATAATAACTTGACCCCACAATTGAGACCTGCAGTCAGATACTGCAAGCTCAGTGGTGAGGCGCTCAGGAACAATGCCCCTAGGAATGCACAATCCCATAGGACATCTGACAAGCACAGACATCCATCAGAGCTTCAGAAGTCCCCCCTGAGGGTGAGGGGCCTGGACTGTGTGCACCTGTTTGGGTGTAGATGTGCTACTAAATTCCATAAGTAGATGGTAATTAAGAACGCATCTAGAATGGCACCATGTAATAACAGTCAACATATGCTTTATGCTCAATAATATTGTTAGCAACAATATTATTTCAATATTGTATATAAAAATAAACAATATTTCCACAGTGGAAATCACCAGGCACATGATATTTCAGGAGAATTACCCAATTCCGTGGTTGAATATAAATATTCCTCTGGTCCTCATAGTGACAAACCAGAGATTTTTTAGAATCAGTTAATTTTTAATTTCCTCATTTACTCAAGATTTAAACCAATTTCTTATGTATGATAGTGCTGGTATCCATGACAGGGTTGGCAATGATTAAATCAAAATGATTAAATCGTGTGATTAAATCACTTAATTTTTTATAAAAAATCATGATTTTTTTATTTTTTCGATTTTTTCGATTTTTTCATAGATTTAAATATATTGAGTGGCAGTCTTTGATTAATATTGAGGTATTGTTATTCATGGTTTAGTATAAATGTACTATGAATGACAAATTGGTTTATAAACTTGTTGCCTTTAGTGTGTATTAGGTTCCAATAAATTGAATGTTTTTGGTACAGAGGCATCAAGTGTTGCAATACATTGCACTTAGCTAGCAGCTTAGCTAA